CACACGTTTCGTGGCTCCATAGGGAGCTCCACCGAAGCCCCCAGTGCCCGCGGCCGCATGCGTCACCCACACCCATTTCGGCACACCCCTCACACGTTTCGTGGCTCCATAGGGAGCTCCACCGAAGGCCCCAGTGCCCGCGGCCGCATGCGCCCCCCACACCCATTTCGGCACACCCCTCACATGTTTCGTGGCTCCATAGGGAGCTCCACCGAAGGCCCCAGTGCCCGCGGCCGCATGCGTCCCCCACACCAATTTCGGCACACCCCTCACACGTTTCGTGGCTCCATAAGGAGCTCCACAAAAGGCCCCAGTGCCCGCGGCCGCATGCGTCCCCCACACCCATTTCGGCACACCCCTCACACGTTTCGTGGCTCCATAGGGAGCTCCACCGAAGGCCCCAGTGCCCGCGGCCGCATGCGTCACCCACACCCATTTCGGCACACCCCTCACACGTTTCGTGGCTCCATAGGGAGCTCCACCGAAGGCCCCAGTGCCCGCGGCCGCATGCGTCCCCCACACCCATTTCGGCACACCCCTCACACGTTTCGTGGCTCCATAGGGAGCTCCACCGAAGGCCCCAGTGCCCGCGGCCGCATGCGTCCCCCACACCCATTTCGGCACACCCCTCACACGTTTCGTGGCTCCATAGGGAGCTCCACCGAAGGCCTCAGCGCCGCCGCCCGCATGCGTCACCCCCACCCATTTCGGCACACCCCCCGCATTTCTCGCACGGCAGGGTCATCACCACGGTGGCGTGCCAGGGGCGCACCATGCGCGAAGGCGACGGGGCGGGGGAACGGCGCTCCGGGGGCGGCCAGACCTCCGGGGCGCGAGCAGTCCGCGGCCAGACCATCTCTCGGTCCTGTGGACTCTCGCCCTGGGCCGTCGGCTGCCCGGCGCGCTGCTCCCTCGGTCGACGTCGCCCAGGCGTGATCCTGGATTGCGGCCGCCACGAGGTAGGGAACGGCAAGAAGGAGGACGACGACTGGTGGCTGGAGCTCTACGTGCTGCTCTCGCGCGCCACGCGCCACGAGGACCTCCTGCTCATGCGGGCGCCGCGCATCGAGTTCTTCCTGGCAGGGCCGCCGCAGGGCTTGCGGAAGCAGCTGGAGCAGTTTGCGGCGCGCGCGAAGCGGTGCAGGAGGGAAGCGACGGCCCTCGCCAGGGAGCTCGGCTTCACCGAGTTCATCCGCGAGGCCTGACCTGAGGAGCGTCTCCCCCGAGCCGCGCCTTCTCTCGACTGCCCGACTAATTGTTTGGCCTCGCGCCGCGGACGACCCGCGCGCGTCGCTGGGGCCCTCTCGGGGCGACCAGCGCGCGTCGCGGGAACTCCGTGCTGCGGGGGGCCCGGCGCCTCGTTCGCCCGTCGTCGCTCTGCCCAGCGGTCAGAGACTTGCCCGCTATCAGCCAGCCAGTTAGCTAGTCAGCTCTCTCTGCTTCGCGCAGCGGACGACCCGCGCGCGTCGCTGGGACCCCGCCCGGGGCGACCAGCGCGCGTCGCGGGGACTCCGCGCTGCGCTGCGCCCGCAGCCTTGGATTTTGGAGTGCGCGGGCAAAGAGGAAGGAAAAGAAGAGCCGAAAGCGGGCGCGATCCTCGCAAGAGGCGTGCCGACATGGGCGTCGCGACGCGCGGGCGCTGCCGTCGGGGTTCCCGCGGAAGCTGCCTGCGGCGGCCACGCCCAGTGTCACGTGTGTTCGGACAGGCATGCTCGACACTTACACTAGGCGGTTCCACGATCGCATTCATGCTAATATATATTCACTCGCGCGCAGACCCATTCATACTCAGATCCCCTCGCGCTCTGACTCACCCGCGTTCTTTCTCTCGTAATCAGATCTATCGTATTCCTTTGCGTTGTGTACCCCGCCACATTTCGGCACGCCACTCGCGCGGTTCGTGGCCCCATAGGGAGCGCCACCGAAGAAAATACTCACAATTGCGATACTCACAACTGCATATGGATGGGTCCTTCGCCAGGTTTTTTTTTTTTTTTTTTTTTCCTTCCTCTCCTTCTTCTTCTTCTTCTTCTCCCCCCCCCCCCAAGGGCGCAATCAATGATCCGCGCGTCTTGCGAATGTCACCAAACGTGACAGGATGCGCCAACCGCGCTCAGGTCTAAGGGAAGAACCAATGCTATAGAGATCACCAATTTGCACCTTGAGATACAAAGCTTGCAAGAAGTGGTGAACCAACTGCGAAGCGCACGCGAAACGCCTTTAGTATGGAACAACTGGACTCCAAGGAATGAGTGTACCACCCACTTTAACACGTGTGTCTGGGAACTGAGACTCGTGATCGACTGAGAACCACTTCAGCCTCGCGGACTGATGGGCAATGTGGCACCCATAGCAGGCATCATAGATTCGGAACTTGGTGTAGAAGATCGCAGCCTTCCTGAACAATCTTGAGCATGTCTGCCTGGACGAGACGAGATCATCAGCGTCAATGAAGCAAACTGGCCTGCATTGCGGAATGACTTTGGCAAAGCGGCCGCAGTGCGGGGCAGGGGGCATCCTGGCGGTTGGTGGAGCAAAATGACTCTCAAATATATAACATGACCAAGATGAGAGGGAACATAACAGCGTGTTAAGGAACAGCATCATAGAGCCCCACAAGCACGGCGCCAAAGAGAGAGCACATGAGGAACAAGCGAGACACGTACGAGGAGTGTCAACTCACGTCCATGGCGGCTTCCATAGCAGCGGCATTGTTTTGACATTCCGAACGCACTCCAACGTCGCATGATTCGCATATCAAGAAACGCTCATGTGCGCTGATGTCCTGACCGCAATAGTCACAGCAGTATTTTCCCGATCGGAGGAAGGTGTGCTCGTGAAGCCCATGCAGCGCTGGACAGTTGAACTGAAAAGTTTCCTCGCGTACGAGCACTGTGTCCTCTGCGAGCTGCACATCACCAGTCAAGTCAACTATATGTCCCCCATGAACATGAGTATCCTGAGGGGCAGCTCGTACTGACGACACACCAAGCCTGTTGTTGAGCTCCTCGATCGTGCCCATAGGGTTGTCGGAAATGATGTGTTGGATCATGCCGATAGGGTTATCGAAAAGGCTGGGCTGGAGGTAGATGGCAAGGGAGCGTAACCAATGGTCACACTGAGCCTTGGGACCAAGGCTCAAGACAGTGAACGCATCAATGACATGCTTAACAACGTCCGATGCCATCATGGACGAGGAGGAGGGGCCATCCACCGGCAACGAAGGGACAACCTCCTCCGTCGATCCCTGAAGAACCGCTGCTGGGTGCTGGGACAGGTAGTCCTCGACAGGATGAGCGTCAGACCTGCGAGTCTGAGAGAATGAACACTCCGTGCTGGCCGCCACATCAATACCATGAATAGGAGAAAGGCCAGATATCTCATCTTCTTCACCGCCCTGCTGCGTACATTGGGCGATGTCGGTGATCTCCTCCTCAGACGAATCAATCGGTACAACAGCCATTACGTCGTCCTCGACATCGTCAGGTTCCTGCTTTGGGAGCGTAAGGCGCCCCGGAAACCCAATTTTGTATTTTCGCCCGCCCAGTACAACGTTTCGCGGCCCCATAAGGAGTTCCACCGAAACCCTCCAGTGGGACCGTCCGCATGCGTCCCGGAAACCCAATTTGGCATTTTCACTTGCCCAGTACAGCGCTTCGTGGCCGCATAGGGAGCTCCACCGAAGCTCCCAGTGGGACCGTCCGCATGCGTCCCGGAAACCTTACTTGACACACCACTCACCCAGAGCAGCGTTCCCCCCCACCCAGTGCAGCACTTCGTGGCCCCATAAGAAATTTCACCGAAGAAGATTTTCACAATTGCGGTACCCACAACTGCATATGGTTGGGTCCTTCGCCAGGATAATTTCCAAACCAACCTGTGTTGTTGGGTCCTCGTTTTGAAGAGACGGTCCACGCGATCCTCCTCTTCTCCTCCTCTCCTCCTCGTCCTTCTCCTCGTCTTCCCTGCGTTTCACCCACCCAGTGCAGCGCTTCGTGGCCCCATAGGGAACTCCACCGAAGGCCCCAATGCCACTGTCCACATGCGTCCCCCACACACACACACACCCATTTCGGCACACCCCTCATACGCTTCGTGGCCCCATGGGGAGCTCCACCGATGGCCCCAGTGCCACCGTCCACATGCGTCCCCCGCACCCATTTCGGCACATCCCTCACACGCTTCGTGGCCCAATAAGGAACTCCACCGAAGGCCCCAGTGCCACCGTCCACATGCGTCCCCCACACCCATTTCGGCACAACCCGCACACGTTTCGTGGTCCAATAGGGAGCTCCACCGAAGGCCCCAGTGCCACCGTCCACATGCGTCCCCCGCACCCATTTCGGCACACCCCTCACACGTTTTGTTGTCCAATAGAGAGCTCCACCGAAGGCCCCAGTGCCACCGTCCACATGCGTCCCCCTCACCCATTTCGGCACATCCCTCACACGCTTCGTGGCCCAATAGGGAGCTCCACCGAAGGCCCGAATGCCACCGTCCACATGCGTCCCCGCACCCATGTCGGCACAATCCTCACACGTTTCGTGGCCCAATAAGGAGCTCCACCGATGGCCCCAGTGCCACCGTCCACATGCGTCCGCCACACCCATGTCGGCACACCCCGCACACGCTTCGTGGTCCCATGGGGAGCTCCACCGAAGGTCCCAGTGCCACCGTCTACGTGCGTCCCCCCCGCCCATTTCGGCACACCCCGCACACGTTTCGTGGCCCCATAGGGAGCTCCACCGAAGGCCCCAGTGCCACCGTCCACATGCGTCCCCCTCACCCACTTCGGCACACCCTTCACACGCTTCGTGGCCCCATAGGGAGCTCCACCGAGGGCCCCAGTGCCACCGTCAGCATGCGTCCGCCACATTCAAGGTTCCAGGGAACAGCTCCTGACCTCTGGGGAGGAGGAGGAGGCGGAGGAGGAGGAGGCCCGCTCCCCCAGTAAAATTGGATTTAGCTTTGCAATTGCGGGAAGTTCCATTCCACCAGCGGGGGTCTTTCCGGCGTTCCCGCTGTGGTCGCCGTAAACGAGTGGCACAATTCGCATGCGTCCCCGCCACTTATTTCGGCGCACCGCTCACACGTTTCGCGGCCCCATAAAAGCTTCGCCGAAGGTCCGAGTGGCACAGTTCGCATGCGTCCCGGCCACTCATTTCGGCACACCCCTCACACGTTTCGTGGCCCCATAGGAGCTCTTCCGAAGGTCCCCGTGGCACAGTCCGCGTGTGACCCCTCCGGGCGACCAGCGCGCGTCGCGGGGACTCGGTGCTACGTTCTGCCCAGCGCGTCGCTCGCCCGTCGTCGCTCTGCCCAGCGGCAAGAGCCTTGCCCGCTATCAGCCAGCCAGCTAGCTCTCTTTGCTCCGCGCAGCGGACGACCCGCGCGCGTCGCTGGGACCCCTCCGGGGCGACATGCGCGCGTCGCGGGGACTCCGCGCTGCGCTGCGCCCGCAGCCTGGGACTTTTGAGTGCGCGGGCAAAGAGGGAGACAAAAAGGGGAGGAAGCGGGCGCGATCCTAGCGGGGGGGCGCGCCGACATTGGCGTCGCGGCGCGCGGGCGATGCCGCCGGGGAGTCCCGGGGAAGCTCCTTGCGGCGGCCACGCCCGCTGCCACGAGTACTCAGAGGCAGTCGTTCTCAAACTATTGACATTCATTTAGTATTACACAATGTTTTGTCATACTCGCATTCATGCACGTAGACTCGCTGGCGTGCAGATTCATTCACAGTGAAACGCGCTCGCGCTCATATTCACCCGCGTTCAGTCTCCCTACGTACTCGGATCAATCGTTTTCGTTCGCGTTGTGTACCACGCCACTCTTTTCGGCACACCCCTAGCACGGTTCGTTGCCTCATAGGGATCACCACCGACAAAGTGTATCACAATTGCGGTACTCACACCTGCATATGGTTGGGTCCTCCGTCATGCTAATTCGTGAAGCCATTTTTTTTCTCTTCGTATGTTTCCAAGGCGCTCAATTTTGAAATCCTTACGAAGCCGCGTTTTTTTGAAGATTTCAGCATGCGCGCGCGCGACGGCGCCCGCGTGTGCACTTCGTCCAATGTTTTGGGAAGGGATGTTTGAAAACTAATGATTTCTGATGAACGAGTGTGTGCGCATAGTATCTTTTGCAGAGGATTAAAGGGGGGATACTGGTTTAGCAGGGATGCTCCGAATCCGTATTTAAGATGCTCCGAATCCGCATATGTAGATTGCAATACGCGAAGAGGGACCGCTAACTCCTGGGGGAGAGATCCTCATATTTTTTCGTTAAAAAAACATCCATGCGAGGCGGCGACGGGCGGCGACGTGGCGGCGATGGCGACGACATAGCCGCCAGAACGACAGACAGGCCCAGACAACGGGCGGCGAGCGACGAGGCGGCGGCGGCGACTACATAGCTGCCAAAGCGGCATCCCATGGTTCGCTCACAAAGAACAATATTGGTTGGCAACCGCATGCGCAACGATGGCTTCGCGAATGACTAGCGGCCCAGCCCGGATGAGGGCTTCTTCTTCCCACAGCAGAACGGCTCCAATCAACGATTTGGGCAACATGGGAATGTGCCCCAAACAGCGGTGGAGGATGAGGCTGAGGAAGATCACGGAATGTCCATCACATACCGCTGACGCAACATCATTCCCTACCGTCCCAAGTCCCCTCCTCGTAAAGACAGCCCTCAAAAAGCTATTTGTTCTCTGGGCCGGCTCAGGGCGCATGCATAGGAGGTCGCACAAACTTCACCCAACAGAACCTTGGCGAAGGTAAGCACTTTCTGGTGCGAGGGGACCTCCCATAGGGTGCTTGGACTTGTATTTGTTGGTAAGAGGGGGGCCGGCCAGCCGTATACGGACCATGGGCGTGTGGACCAAGGGTGCTCAATTAGCTGTGCGACTCTTTGTTTTTTTCGATGCTGGTATGTTCCAGATCCGTGTGATCACCCTGTTGTTGCACCCTGTTTGTGACCTGGCCCCGCGGACCGACCCTGCGACCCGCGCTCACGACTCGCGACCCCCTCAGCTCGCGCTCCCGACCCGAATCTGCGGCCTGCCCACGATCCGCCCACGTTGAATGAGAAATCAGCTGGCGGCGGGATGTCAAACATCACTCGTACTACTCGTTGTGAGAGCTATGATGAAGATTTCCTGTGGCGTCGTGGCCCGACCCTCGTGCTTTCAAAGAGTCGGTGCCCTCAGCGGGATGTGGTTTCTTGTTGTGGCCCGCGACCCTCCCACGCTGCACACGCGCGCGCGATGACGTTCGCGCGGGTTTCTGATTCCTGCGTATGAGTGGATGCCAAATGCCCTTCTTGGGCTTACCATCCTTCCTGCGTTAAACAACCCAACCCTGGCACCCCTCACTCTGATCAACATTGCCATCAGCATGCGCCCCCGCCGAAAATCTGCTTTGTGATGTTTCAACACCGATCGCCCCTCCGTGTGTCCATGTGGAGCGCAATTCTTACGACAGGAGCATTGGATACATAGCAGCACGACTCTGAAAAGAAGCTACCAAACATGCGCGCAGTAGTTGGGCATGTCATGCTTTCGTAGAAGCATCGTACATCTCAGGCGAGACCTCTCTCTTGGTAAACAGGGCATCAAGCCCATGTACGTTCTGTGAAGTCCAAGCTTGAAAATCACAACGTGTGACGCGATAATCCATGTATGAAACATTGTCAGCCCTACATCCGCGTAGTACTTGACACATTCACTAAACATATATGGTCACACGAACAGTGACCAGAGCCCTTTAGCTAGCATCGTCTTGAAGCCCAGCTACTGGCCACCCCAACACTTCTAGGATGCTGCACGGTTCTAATTGCATTGTCGCAAAGCCACCCGCGCTACATCCAGATCTCGATTGTAAAATTTTAAATTCTGATCTCATTCTCGGCGGTTCGCCTGTCGGAACTACGAAGCGCTCGGAAAATCGTGAGGAGCCCTCGTGGCGATGTGCCTGGACCGCCCTATCGACGTGCCTGGTAGTGCGGCGAGGAGGAGATGCTGGAATTTCCTGCATCGACAGCGTGGGTAGAAAGGAAAACCACACAATATAAACACCACTTTAAAGACAACCGCGAGGTTTTCTTGTATCGGCGCTGGATCCTCCTCTCTGGCATGCGGAGCGCGCCAGGGGCGGCGCCTGAGGCGCCGCCAAACGGGGGTCCAGCGCCGATCCAAGAAATGCGGGCGGACTCCGAACATTGATGTTCATGTTGCATTTTCTTCTTCGGGTGGGCCCTGGTTCCTGATACCGCGCGCTCCACCTTGCTCTCGGACGTCCACCGAGGCTTTCGGACGTCCCCAGGAGCTCTCGGACGTCCCCAGAGGCATTCGGCCCAATGTTTCGAACGGCTTCTGCGCGCCCTGGGCTGCCTTCGGTGGGCCCAGCCCGAGAATCCGAAACGGGTCCTTTCAGGCAAAAGACGGAATGAACATCAACTCTCGGAAGGTCCGCGCGACTCCTCAGATCGGCGCTGGACCCTGGGGCGCTCCGCGCGCAGGGGGCGGCGCCGGAGGCGCCGCCAGGGGTCCCCGCGCAGATCCAACGCGCGGCGCTCCGTTTCTTCTTCTCCTTCTTCCTCCTCCTCCTCCTCCTCCTCCTCCTGCGCGAGTCACCGCCGCACTCGTCGGAGAAGCCCGGCAGGGACAGATCCGGGAGCCGCCCGCCGCCCGCGTCAGTCGTCGCCGACGAAGCGGCCCGGCCGGCAGCTCGCGCGGCTCTCCCGGGTGGCCTCCGCGGCGCGGCGGGCGTTTCCGGTGGGCTCGGCGGGGCAGCCTGGGCTCCCGACCCCCTTGCGGCGCAGAACAGCAACGACGCGACATGCTCCTTCGTTTTCGCACTCCAGGGGCCCTCGCTGGGGCCCGGGGCCGTTGACAACACGACTGGGTCTGAAAAGCCGGTCCTGGCCCCTGGGGTCCACGTCGTGAGCAAATCATCAAAGTGAGTGCCTGAGGAAGGGGGGGAAGACCGCTGCCAGGGGGATAGGGGATCGAGGCGCCAGGTTTTCTCGGCGTTCTCGAGCATTGGCCCTTGTTGGGCCTCCAGGAGGCCTCCAGGGACATTCGGATGCCTCCGAAGACATTGACGACCCGTCCACCACCGCCCACAGCCGGCGGTGCACGGGATGCGGACAGGCCGCAGGAGAGCGAAGCTGCGACACCAACCAGCATGAAGGCACCCCTGAGGTCCGATGTTGCCACACAAAAGCGTCGCAACAAATCATGACAGGAGAGCCCCCGACCCCATCTTTCCACGTCATTTCTCGAGCCGGATCGATCTATGAGGGCCCTGGGGCCCGACATGGAGCGACAGCGCCCGTCGTGAAGAAATTGCAACGCCCGGACCTCAGGGCGTGGGAGGCGTGCAGCTGGCACATCGCAGCGGGAGGGCGAGGCGGCGGCGGAGGAGCAGCAGGCGCGCGCGGGGTCGCCTCCATGTGGGCAGCCCGTCTGTGCGCCGACTCCTCCTCGTGCGCCTCGGGCGCCGCGGGCGCGAGGCCCCGCCAGAAGCTCGACGGCGGGCAACATGCAGAGGTCGGCGGCGAGCGAGGGGGGGGGTGACCTGCGCAGGAAGGAGAAGGCCCTCTCAGAGGGCCGCGGGGCTTCTCCGAAGCTCCATGGCCTTCTAAAAGAAAATGTCTGCGCCTTGGGGGAAGGCTCAGAAGACTTCTCGGGAGGCAAGGAGGACTCCCGAGCCCTCTGGGAAGCCCCGCCCCCTCACGACCTGCAGTGGTCGCTCGCTGCGCGTGGAGATCCTCTCGCGACTCTGCCTAACCCAGCCTCTGCTGCAAGCGAAGGTCCAGCTGCGAACGCTGAAGCTCGATCGAGCCATCTCGACCTGCCATGGTCGCTTGGGGTATTTGCCCCCCCCCCCCCCCCCTATACCCTCCAAGGCTCGCCGCCGAAGAGGGACGGCCCTGCCTCCTCGGCCTCCCCACCTCGTCGTCGTCGCCGCTGTCACCACTGCCATCGGCTCAGCTGCTCCTCCTCCGCTGTTCCTCTTCCGCTGCTGCTGCTCCTCCTCCTCCTCCTCTTCCTCCTCCTCCTCCTCGTCCTCCTCCTCGTCCTCCTCATCCTCCTCGTCCGCCTCGTCCTCCTCGTCCTCCTCCCTCTCCTCCTCCTCCTCCTCCTCCTCCTCCTCCCTCCTCCTCCTCCTCCTCCTCTCCTCCTCCTCCTCCTCCTCCTCCTCCTCCTCCTCCTCCTCCTCGGCCTCCTCCTCTCCTCCTCCTCCTCCTCTTCCCCCTCTCCTCCTCCTACTCCTCCTCCTACTCCTTCTCCTCCTGCTCCTCCTCCTCCTCCTCCTCCTCCTCCTCGTCCCCCTCCTCCTCCTCGACCTCCTCCTCCTCCTCCTCCTCCTCGTCCTCCTCCTCCTCCTCGCCCCCCTCCTCCCTTTCATCCTCCTCCTTCTCCTCCTCCCCGTCCTCCTCCTCCTCCTCCTCCTCCTCCTCCGCCTTCTCCAAAAATTAACGCGAAGGACCCAACCATATGCAGTTGTGGGTACCGCAATTGTGAAAATCTTCTTCGGTGAAACTCTCTATGGTGCCACGAAGCGCTGCACTGGGTGGGGGGGAACGCTGTTCTGGGTGAGTGGTGTGTCAAGTAAAGTTTCGGGGACGCATGCGGACGGTCCCACTGGGGGCTTCGGTGGAGCTCCCTATGGGACCACGAAGCGCTCTGCCGGGTAAGTGAAAATGCCAAAGTGGATTTCCGGGACGCATGCGGACTGTCCCACTGGAGGCTTCGGTGGAACTCCCTATGGGGCCACGAAACGCTGTACTGGGTGGGCGAAAATGCCACGTTGGGCTTCCGGGACGCATGCGGACGGTCCCACTGGGGGCTTCGGTGGAGCTCACTAAGGGGCCACGAAAAGCTGTATTGGCTATGTAAAAATGCCACGTTGGGCTTTCGGGACGCATGGACGGTGGCACTGGGGCCTTCGGGGGAGCTCACTAAGGGGCCACGCAATTCTCGACTGGGTGGGTGAAAATGCCACAATGAGTGTTCCACGACGCATGCGGACGGTGGCATTGGGGCCTTCGGTGGAGTTCCCTGTGGGGCCACGAAAAGTTGTAATGGGTGGGTGAAAATGCCACATTGGGTGTGCGGGACGCATGCGGACGCTGGCATTGGGGCCTTCGGTGGAGCTCCCTGTGGGGCCACGAAACGCTGTTATGGGTGAGTGAAAATGCCAAATTGGGTGTTTCAGGACGCACTCGAACGGACCCACTGGGGCCTTCGGTGGAGCTCCCTATGTGGCCACGAAACACTGTACTGAGTGGGGGGGGGACGCATGTGGACGGTAGTACTGTGACCTTCGGTGCGGCCCCCTATGGGGCCACGAAACGCTGTACTGAGTGGGGGGGACGCATGTGGACGGTGGCACTGGGGCCTTTGGTGGAGCTCCCTATGGGGCCACGAAACGCTGTACTGAGTGGGGGGGACGCATGTGGACGGTGGCACTGGGGCCTTCGGTGGAGCTCCCTGTGGGGCCACGAAACGCTGTACTGAGTCAGTGGACGCATGTGAACGGTGGAACTGGGGCCTTCGGTGGAGCTCCCTATGGGGCCACGAAACGCTGTACTGAGTGGGGGGGACGCATGTGGACGGTGGCACTGGGGCCTTCGGGAGCTCCCTATGGGGCCACGAACGCTGTACTGAGGGGGGGACCATGTGGACGGTGGCACTGGGGCCTTCGGTGGAGCTCCCTAGTGGACGCATGTGCGACTGGGGGCCTTCGTGAGCTCCCTATGGGGCCACGAGCGCTGTACTGAGTGGGGGGACGCATGTGGACGGTGGCACTGGGGCCTTCGGTGGAGCTCCCTATGGGGCCACGAAACGCTGTACTGAGTGGGGGGGACGCATGTGGACGGTGGCACTGGGGCCTTCGGTGGAGCTCCCTATGGGGCCACGAAACGCTGTACTGAGTGGGGGGACGCATGTGGACGGTGGCACTGGGGCCTTCGGTGGAGCTCCCTATGGGGCCACGAAACGCTGTACTGAGTGGGGGGGACGCATGTGGACGGTGGCACTGGGGCCTTCGGTGGAGCTCCCTATGGGGCCACGAAACGCTGTACTGAGTGGGGTGGACGCATGTGGACGGTGGCACTGGGCCTTCGGTGGAGCTCCCTATGGGGCCACGAAACGCTTTACTGAGTGGGGGGACGCATGTGGACGGTGGAACTGGGGCCTTCGGTGGAGCTCCCTATGGGGCCACGAAGCGCTGTACTGAGTGGGGGGGGCGCATGTGGACGGTGGCACTGGGGCCTTCAGTAGAGTTTCCTATGGGGCCACGAAGCGCTGTTCTGAGTGGGGGGGACGCATGTGGACGGTGGCACGGGGGCCTTCGGTGGAGCTCCCTATGGGGCTACGAAACGCTGTACTGGGTGGGTGAAACGCAGGGAAGAGGGGGAGGAGGGAGGTGTGGGAGGAGGAGGGGGAGGAGGAGAGGAGGGGAGGAGGGGGAGGGAAGAGAGGAGGAACGCGGGGCACCGTCTCTTCAAAACGAGTACCCAACACCACAGGACGGTTTGGAACAAACTATGTCCACCGAACACGGAAGCCGCTCTGCCTGAAGGGCGAAGGCGGATCGGTGGAGCCCAAACGCCGGAACACCAGTTCCAAGAGTCTCACCGACGACCTATCGGAGCAACGCGCGTGCTGCGTTGGATAGGTGCGACGGGTCGTCGGCGCCATTGTGGGGAGAAAGCATCGCCGCTGGCTTGCAAACGACCGCTTGGCAGAAGCCCACGCGCGGGTAACCGCGCATCGGTCGTGTGTCCATTGTCCGCGCACTGTTTTGCTTCGTGTTCTGTTGTTATGTCTCCGGATATCTTTCAGGACGATGCAGGGTGCTCCAGGATGGTCCAGATAATCTGGCGTTGACCTCGCCGTACTCGGTGGAACAATGTGTTTTCGGAGAGCGCGGAAAACGCGGAGGAGGAGGAGGAGGAGAAGGAGGAGGAGGAGGAGGAGGAGGAGAAGGAGGAGGGGGGCGAGGTGGAGGAGGACGAGGAGGGGGGCGAGGAGGAGGATATTCTGGCGTTTACCTCGCCGAACAAAATGCACACGCCCGAGCGATGCCAAGCTGGGGTCCCACGCAGCCGCTTACTGTGCAGCTCGCAAAGGGGGGCGCCCGCGCAACTCCTATAGGCAGCGCTTCCCGGTGGGCCTGGGGGGCGCCCTCCACGCAGCGCTTCCGAAGCTCGCGCCCAGCTTCCATGGGACGCCCAGCTTCCTCCTCCCTCCTCCTCCTGTTCCTCCTCCTCCTCCTCCTCCTCCTCCTCCTCCTCCTCCTCCTCGCCCACCATCCCCGGTGGAAGGAGGCATCTCTGCCTCCACCGCCACCCTCTATCCTCACCCCGGGCCCGGTCTGAGGCGCGTCTTCCTGCAGTCCCCGTCTTCCCCACTGAAGAAGGGGCCGACCCCTCTCCGTGCCCTCTTCTGGTCTCTGTCAGATCTATGGGACGCACATAGACATACCAGTACTGTATGACTATATGTCCTCCTCGGAGGCGCGAGCACGGAACGAACACACAGTATACCCATCTTGTAGTAACTCGTTTCCCGAGCGGTGTGGCCAGAAGGCGCCCGATACTATGAGGTTTCTCTGTGCGCGCGTCGCTCCTGGGGGGGACGACGCACATACAGTGTAAGTATGTTGGGGTGACGCCGATTCCAGGCAGCTCCCGCGCTGCTTGCCCGAACCAAAAGATCCTTGAGGCAGCTGAAGAGCTTTAGAGTTAAGTCGGGCCTGTCCCTCGACAGGAGGAATATTCAAGAACAGTCAAAAAATAGTCGTGAGACGATCTTTTGAGTATGTTTGGGCATGTTCGAAGATTTGTCGGGTATTGTGTTGTTTCTTCGCCCAAAATCCCCTTGTAGGAAGACACGCCCGACCTGATTTTAGAGAAGACGCCGGCAGACTGGGCCGGGCCAGCTCTCTGTCTCTCTCTCTCTCTCTCCATCCACGGCTGCGGGGGGCAGGCGCTCCCCTTCGCAGCGAGCTGCTTCCCGATTTTGCCGTGCGCGAGTGGCCGTGGGCGTGCGCTGTGCAACGAGACACAAGAGTGGGGGGCAACTTGGAGGGGGGCGGGGGCCAGCGTAGGGGGGGGGGGGGACAGGTCAAGCTGGAATCGGTGATGCACCAAGGACTGAATTAGAGACAGAAGAAACGCCACAAACATAAACTTTTCGCGCTCCGCGCGGATTTCCTGGATCTGCGCTGGACCCCTTCCCTGGCGCGCGGAGGGCACCAGGGGCGGCGCCGGAGGCGCCGCCGAGGGGGGCCCAGCCCATCGCGGATTCAAGAAATCCGCGCGGAGCGCAAGTTTACGTTTATGACGTTTTTTCTCCTTCTATGAATGGCCATAGGTCCCCGATCGCGAATCCGCCCGCTCGTGGGCGGGGTGGGCCATCGGGCCGCCGTCGGCGACGAACGGGCGATCGGGGGCCGATGCGGTCCTCCCTCAGACTGCCCCCCCCCCCCCGAGCGTGGCCCATGGAAAGGGGGGGACTGAGCAGCTTCACCCGAGCTTGGTGCAGAGTTCCTGCTGGTTCCTTGGGGAGCGCCTGCGGATCGGGCTACTTCTGGAGGGGGAGCGGTCCTAACTCGGGTTGCCGTGAGGGGGGGAGAGGGAAGAGGAAGTGAAGGGAAGGGGGGGTTGGGAGGGGAGGGGAAGGAGAGGGAAAGGAGGCACTCTGACTGAGGACCTGTACTCCCAAATCGTGGGACATGAAAGATGTGAAGCCTCCTCGAGGTTGGGGAGTCCGATCGTGCCCCATGCCTCTCCCGCCAACATGGGCCAGACTGGATCAAATCAATGCCAAAACCGCTTCTACCCCTGGGCTCGCCGCCGATACCCGGAACCACATCAGGTGCATCTGCGAGCACACGGAACTTGTTTCCAACGTCGGCGCTGACACTCGCATGTGCCCACCAGAGCACAAACTTGCCAGCACACGCCAAGTGAAACAGCTACGGCAGGTTCGTGTCGTGCCGACCCCAGCGTTGGTTTTTGACACCGCAGGGATCGTTCAACCTTGAGCGATTGGCCGCTGCCGCAACGTCCGATCGTTCAACGTCGATCGATTCTGGGTCGCCAGCGGCGTTCAACCTTGAACGCCCACGCTGGGGTCGCCGCTGGTCGACACGACGCAAACCTACCGTAGAGTGGGTGCACGGCGAGCTCCAGCCGTGGGTGCAAGAGCAGCCGAAGGATGGCGTCAAAGTCTTGCCCCTACTCGGCCCGCGCTCCCACGCGCTGCTGCCCTCCTCCTTCCGACTGCCGCAGACGGATCCCGAGCTGGCTCTCCTGTCCCTGCCATCCCGCGCACGGCAGGTTCGTGTCGTGTCGACCCCGGCGTTGGTTTTTGACACCGCAGGGATCGTTCAACCTTGAACGATCGGCCGCGGCCGCAACTTCCGATCGTTCAACATCGATCGATTCTGGGTCGCCGGCGGCGTTCAACCTTGAACGTCTGCGCTGGGGTCGCCGCTGGTCGACACGACGCAGACCTACCGCACTCTTCTGACAATCGCCAGGAATGCCACAGAGAAGCCCAACTGCTTCGGATGACAGTCCACCGCCATGCCCTGATGCAAGAAATGGAGTGTCTTCAGGCACCTTTGGATTCTCTGTGTCGTGGGAACGCTCTTTAAGGGGCGCCTGCATTCTCTGGCTCTACTGGGTGGCTCCAGGGCTCCCGGCGTGACTTTTCCAAAGGCCTCGGGAGACCCGCGCTCCCCACATGTCAAGATGGTCTCCGTGCGCCGAAGAGCCCCAAATCATTGCAAACAACTCAAAAATTTGGAACATGTTTGCATGCTCGCCGTTTGGTCTCAAGAGATCCCGAGGCTCCCAAGAGGGCCCCAAAGGCTCCCCAAGCCCTCAAAAGGGGCCCACGAGGGGCACCTCGAACTGCAATGTCGAGCCCTTCAGCCCAACATTGTCCCCGAGACAACCAGTAGGCCCTCAAGACACCCCCAGGCGCCCCCAAGAGCCCCACCCAAGAAACCCTGGGAGGCATCCAAGAGGCCTCTTGTCCACTACCCAGGCGTGGTGGCGGGATGGGCCCAAATCCACTCATAACAATCGTAAGCGTGCAGCGGACGCTGATAACACGGACAAGAAGATGATGACGACGAGTGCGAATGATTATGCGCTGCGCCAGACATCATAACTGACAGATGGTATGTGCGGCCAGGGCTATACGAGGAGAAATTGACAAGAATCATGCGTCCAATAGAGGGTGCCCAACGTACGGCCCATACCAACCAACATCGATATCTCAAAACGATCCGGACATTTTGAATTTCAGCATTCCCATGATGTTACCTGGTACTTGTTTCCTCCTCCTGCCCCTACGTCTCCGACTCCTCCGCCCTCCTCGAAAACCTCACGAACCATCAGAGGGCACACGGAAACCCTTGGCACACTCCGCGTACCGCCGACACTGTCCGAAAAACGCCGAACTTCTCCCCCGCCTCCATCCACCGCCTGCTCCTCCAGCTCCTCCACCTCGCTCCTCCTCGAACAGATACTTGCACGTTTGTAGAGCATAAGAAAGACATCGTGCAATGTGCCTGTAGCATTTCGTCTCGGGCGCCTTGACCTCATATAATACAATCTCGATGCTGCAATAGCCTGTGGTATCTTCCACCGTCGCTGTGCGTTTGCGCCCTGGTGTGGCGCTGATACTAGCATGGACACGTCGTCGCGCCCTATGCCACGCCACGCTCGGGATAGGTGCTGCAATCTTTGTGCCCATGCTCGTGCAACGTGGCAACATGTAGAGAATTGCGGCCCGGAGCAACAGCAGATGTATGTGTGCTTCAGACGCACATGCGCAATGCAAATGCGTCCGTATCTGTCGTTAGCGGGCCATTCCCAACACGCAACGGTCTTATACTGTGAACCTCTTCTGCAAGTTAACGAAGACCGTGCTGCGCACGGTAACATATAGCATCGCCACGTTCTGGTGACCATCGTGTGCAATGTTCTGTGGAACGTATTTCAAGATACACAGGCGCCATATCTTCAATTCCAGGTGTGTGCACAACATCGATTCTGCAATGTTTCGAACTTGCCTACATTCACCAGGTCGTGGCATGAACGTCTTGTTCTCCAACACGGTGCACGAATCATGTTACGCATCACCGCGCTCGTATTGGATAGTCGTATCGCAGCGACTGGTGCGGGATAGGCTGTTTCTTCCATGCAGGAAGTCCGCCATACAATACTTTCTAAACATAACTAGATACATATACGCACCTTTTTCACTAAGGCGCCTGAAACGGAAGTTGTCTACCCTATGGCGGCAAGTGTGTGTGTGTGTGTGTGCGTGTCGAACATGTCCAGCTCAAGGGTCTTGAGTTGGAGAGCAGGTGCTCTGGGTACGCGTGGATGCAGAACACCTTAGCCAACGAACGCCCTGCATCCTTTCGGTATCAAACTTGTCTGCAGAGAGACAAGCTTCCACACTTCGCGTGTGGCTCGGGTCTGCCTTTAACGATCATTGTCATTGCCGTGATTGGCAGACTGAGCTGGTGAAGGCCGTCGACAACGGCATCTGCTCTGAAACGTAAGTGTTGCCGTCCGTTCAACACAAGGTAGGCCTAACTCGTCAATGCTGAGGAACTGTACAATGCAACCTGCCCGCTGTTCGTTGTATCGGTCGCTACATCACTTTCTTGGCCTCTTTGATGGATTCCATTCCAAAGAAAATAAGTACAAACTCTGTGTTTAGCAACCGCATGCGAGTGCGTGACGGCCTGGAAGCGTGGCTGACTTGTGCCCACAAATATTTGTGAACAATCACCTTCTGACGGATGGTCATGTATGAGTGCTTTGCTGCCGCGCGCGTACCTCAAAATACCAGGGACTGCGCCGTAGCATGTTATCCAAGTCCCAAATGAAAAACGGTACACAATTCTGACCTTGCTATTGCCCTGCGTATCCCCCTCGCTCCTCAGTCTTCCTCTATCCCCTCTCTTTTCCTTTTTTTTCTCCTCGTCCTCATCCTCCTCCTCCTCCTCCTCCTCATCCTTCTCCTCCTCCTCCTCCTCCTCCTCCTCCTCCTCCTCCTCCTCCTCCTCCTCTCTGCTTCTCCGTCTTTCTCGTCCTCCTCGTCCTCGTCCTCCTCCTCCTTCTCCTCCTCCTCCTCCTCCTATCCTCCTCCTCCTCCTCCTCCTCCTCCTCCTCCTCCTCCTCCTCCTCCTCCTCCCCCCTCCCCACTCCTCCCCTTCTCCTGCCCATCCGCCTCTTCCTCCTGCCTCCTGCTCTTCCTCGGAGCAGTGCGTAACCAAGCCTGGCCACCATACATGCACAGCGCGACTTTGGGAGGACTTCGCCGGCGAATCAACGACGACGCCGCCGGCCCATCTCGCAGGCTATGGCCTCATGCATCGCCTTCCAGCCCACGCCCCTGAGAGGCAACGTTGGGGGGGGAACGGTTCAGGGGGAGCCGTCGAGCTGGAATCGCCGATAGATCGGCGATTGGCCCCCACTGTCGTTGCCCCGTGGCGTTTGGGCCATGACTCGGGTCTCTGGCGGCCGTTCGGGACGCTCTTGGCGAGGCGCGGCTGCAGGACAGCACCCCGAAGCTGGAAGGCCGCCGAGAACCGACGACAACGCCACGCTCTGAGCGAGACACGGCTGCCGAAGAGCACCCCGAGGCGGGCAGGCCACCGAGAACCGACGAAAACGGCCGTTCCTGGGCGGGGCGGGCTATTCGACGATGGGGGAGGGGGACGAGAGGAGGAGGAGGAGGAGGAGGAGGAGGAGGAGGAGGAGGAGGAGGAGGAGGAGGATGAGGAGGAGGGGGAGGAGGAGGGGAGGAGGGGAGAGGGGAGGACGCGGAGGAGGGAAGGACGAGGAGAGGAGGACGGGAGAGAGGGGACGAGGAGGAGGAGAGGAAGGAGAGGATGAAGGAAGAGGGAGGAGGAGGAGGAGGAGGAGGAGGAGGAGGAGAGGAGGAGGAAGGAGGAGAGGAGGAGGGAGAGGAGGAAGGAGGATGAGGAGGATTGGCCATGGGGGGTCGATGCCTCGCCCCCTGAGCCTGTGCCCTTCTGTCGTTGCCTCCGTGCTCTCCGGCCCGAACTCGGCTCTCCGGCGGCCGCTCGGGACGATCCCCGACAGCACCCCTGGGGACGCTCTCGGCGGGGCGCAGCCGCTGGGAGGCACCCCGAGGCTAAAGAACTGCCGCGAGCCAGCAAGCCTCCTCCTCCTCCTCCTCCTCCTCCTCCTCCTCCTCCTCCTCCTCCTCCTCCTCCTCCTCGAGCCAGTCGTTCCCAACGCTGCCCGGCCCCCTCGCGTGCGGCGCAGGCAGCTGCTGCCGCCAGGCTCAGCTGGGCGAGTCGACGGGCGCTCCGTCGGCGGCGGCGTCCGCCTCGATCTCCGCGGCCGCCTTGCTCGCCTCCTGGGCTGAAAGTGGGGGGAGAGGGGCGGAGGGAGGGAGGAGGGGAGGAGGAGGGAGGGAAGGAGGGGGAGGGAGGAAAGAGGAAGGAGGATGGGCAGGATTAGGGGGAGCGGCAGGATGATGAAGAAACGTATGCGGAGGGAAGGAGGAGGAGGAGGAGGAGGAGGAGGAGGAGGAGGAGGAGAAGGTGGAGGAGGAGGTGGAGGAGGAGGAGGAGGAGGAAGAGGACGGGGAGGAGGAGGAGGTGGTGGAGGAGGAGCAGGAGGAGGATAGTGAGGCCACAGCGGCAGCTGGCCTCAAGCAGCCCAATGACTGCAAAAAGAGCTGAAGAAGGGGTGGGGCAGAGACGCAGGAGAAGCAGGGGGAGACAGAGGAGGAGCAGGATGAGAAGGAGGATGACGACGGAGGTTGACGATGATGCCGACGATGACGGTGATACTGATACGGGTGAACCTTATCATAATGATGATGACGATGCTGATGGTGGTGATGCTGATGCTGATCATGATGATGATGCGACTGATGATGAAGATGACGATGACGATGACGAGGATGATGCTGATGCTGATGATGATGCCGATGATGGTGATGCTGATTATCATGCTGATGGTGGCGAGGATGGCAATGATGATGATGCTGCAGATGACGATTCTGATCATGCTGATATTGATGTGGATGATGAAGATCATGCTCATGATGATGATGATGATGCTGATGCTGCGGCTGCTGCTGTTGTTAATGATGATGCTGAGGCTGCGGCTGATGATGCTGCTGATGATGATGAGCGGGGATGGTGAGTGCGGATGAACAGAGAAGATTCTATAGACAGGAGGAGCAGACGCAGGAGCAGGAGTAACATGATAATGTGAGGATTACTGGTACTTAGTGAAGCTGATCACGAGGGAGGAGCAGTATCATGAAGATCCGAGGAGTGGGTAATACGAGGAGGGGGCCGTAGTGATGCCGCCAGGGAGGATGCACTAGGTGCCGCTCGTCGTGTATTGGTAGCTTCCCTTAGTCTCCTTCTTATGAACTGCCTCTGCTTCCACCTCCTCCTGGCCTGCCTTACCTTCCCGTGATTGACCTTCCTGTCTCCTCCTCCCTTTCTTCTGCTGTTTCCTCTCCCGCCCCTCCTCCTCCCCACCCTCCTCCTCCTGTTCCCCATCGTCTCCTCCTCCTCCTCCTCCTCCTCTTCCTCCTCCAACCGCATTTGTTCTCCTCTGCCTCCCCTTCCTGCTCCTGATGTCTATCTGCAACCTTCCTCTGCTCAGACTCTGGACCTCTCCTCTTCTTCATATTTCTCCTCCTGCTTCCTCGTCTCGCTCTTCAGTCACCCTTCCTTCTCCTCCCCCTCCTCCTTCGAAGCCGTCTGTTCGATTCCCTCTCATTCGCTTCCACTTCTTCCCCTCATTCCTCCTCCTCTCCCTCTGCTGGCTCCTCCTTCTTCGATGATCGTCGGCTTACCCCTGCCCCCGTCCTGACCTTCTCCGCTCGGTTCGGCTCGAAAGCAGCGAATGAAGCGCCGTGGAATTGTACCGAACACGCATGCACGCAACAGGATTAGTGAGACAATGTGGGTCAGATACTCAGTGGCACTGGTGGCGAAGAGGGAGAGCAAGATCGGGCTGACCTGCAACACTGTGCGCATTGACCCCGCCCGTGCCCCGCGTACGTAGCAAGATTGCGGCAAGGCGGCCAGAATCTACAGCACGGTCTTCCAGGGAAGCTCTGAGGGACAATCTCCTCCTCTTCTTCTCCGCCTCCTACACGTACGGTCGGCTTGCATTTCGCCGCGCCCCGCGCCTTCGCTGTGGCTCTCGGTGGCCCACCGGCTGTCGACGGCACGCGGCGCGGCCGGCCCAGGAGGGAATCGATCAGCATCGAAGTGCCAGGCCGGATCGGATCGACGCGTGCGCCGAATTGGGACGCATCGCCACGGAGTCGAAGTCGGATCAAGCTGGCCTCTCCTCCTCCCTCCTCCTCCTCCTCCGCCTCCTCCTCCTCCTCCTCCCTCCTCCTCCTCCTCCTCCTCCTCCTCCTCCTCCTCCTCCTCCTCCTCCTCCTCCCTTCTCCTCCTCCTCCTCCATCCCCTCCTCCTCCCTCCTCCTCCTCCTCCTCCTCCTCCCTCCTCCTCCTCCCTCCTCCTCCTCCTCCTCCTCCTCCTGCTCCTCCGCCCCTTCCCCCTCCTCCAGTGGTCCAGGGGCCGCGGTGCGCGCGCGCCCGCGGAGGGAGGGCCGGGAACGTCCTGCTGCAGCCGCGCCTTGTCCTCCTCCGTGGGGTTCAGGCGGATGATGCGGTTGCACGCCGCGACCTGGGCGGGGAGGGGGCGCTTCGGCGGGCGCGGCGCAGGGCCGGCCTGGCGGGGACCGGGCAGGAGACGGTTACTTTACGCCGCCCCTGTCACGGCCCCGCCGATCACCCCCCCGCCGATCAACCCCCTCTTCCTTGCCCCGTGACCTTGCCCTCCCCCGGCTGAACCTGGTTCCTGACTGGGAAGGGCGTCGTCCGTAGTGAGCCCTCCCGCGGGAAGGACGTCGTCCGTAGTGAGCCCTCCCGCCCGAACCTCCTCCTCCTCCTCCTCCTCCGCCTCCGCCTCCTCCTCCGCTTCCTCCGCCTCCTGAGCCTCATGATCGTTCTGAGCCACTGCGGGGCGGGTGCGTGGCAGGGCCTGAGGGCCGATGGGGGGGGGGGGGGGCGAGGGGCGAAGCCGTGAGGGCGGAGCGACGGAGGCAAGGCTCAGCAAGGAGAGTGTGTGTGTGTGTGTGTGGGGGGGTTCTGCCGAGGCCCCGGGCGTTGTGAGAGGCTCTGGGGGGCAGAGGGCGGGGATGGGGGAGGAGACGGGGAGGAGGGATAAGGATCGGGATGATGAGGAAGGGGCGTGGGCGAGCGGGTAGGAAAGAGAGAGAGAGAGAGAGAGAAAACAACGAATATAGAGAGAGAGAGCGAGAAAGGGGGAGAGAGAAAGAGAAAGATATATATATATAGAGAGAGAGAGAGAGAGAGAGAGAGAGAGAGAGAGACAGAGCGCGCGAGAGAGATGGTCTGCACCTTTGTTGTTGAAAAGTTCCGGGTGGTTCTAGAGCCCAGATGGGGGGAGGGGGTGGAGGGTGGAGCGGGTATGGGAAGACGGGGAGTACCCGCCTGAAGGATCCAAAACACACCCAAGCCAAACTGCGAGCAGACGAGGAAATGACATCGGTGATATGACAGAACATAATTGAATTCCTCTTCCTTCTCTTCCTTCTCCGCCCCCTCCTCCTCCCGCATGCGTGCTCCTGCTTCTCCTTTCTCTTTTCCTTCCCGCCTTCCCCATGAGATCCCTTCCCCCTTTTGCTCCTTTTGCAATGCTCCTGCTACTTCTCCTGCTCATCCTGACGCTGACGCTGATAGCGGTTTTGATATGACATCTGGCGTCGCCGATACCCCCGCCCCCAACCAAGGCTGAGGGCGAGGGGGAGGGACATAACTCTTCCTTTTCCTCGGACTCCCTCAGTATCGACTCCCAGACAAGAAATATACGTGAGAGAGATCCGATCAGGACTCCGCGAAGTTAATTCTGCCGTGGCGACGAGGGCCCGACGGGACCTAAGAAAGCTGACACGTGTTAACATCACCCCTCCTCCTTCCTCCTTCTCCTCCTCTTCGTCCCAGTCGGACCAGGTCGGCTCTAGTAATGCGTCCCTTTTTCTTCAGCCAGTCCGCGACACCAGCCATCTCCTCCGGCGTTGCTCTCTGGGGAGGTCTGGACTGGGCTGGCGGAGGAGAAGACGGGATGAAACGAGAGGGAGAGGGGAGGAGAGGATGTGTAGACGAGGGGAGGAGAGATCACGAGGAGGAGCAGGAGCAGGAGCAGCAGGAGGAAGTTGAGCAGGAGCAGGAACTGTTGTTGCTGGTTTGCTGCACTTGACGATTGCTTTCGAGAGGGATTGATCTTCTAAGGCTTCAAAAAAGTGGAAGTGACGAGACGGGACAAAGGGGAGGGCAAAGGAGGAGTCGGCGTGGGACGGGGGCATATACACAAAGAGAGAGAGATATATATAGAGATAGAGAAAGAGAGAGAGAGAGAGAGAGAAAACAATATATTGACTTATGCACAGAAAGAGAGAGAGAGAGAGAGAGAGAGAGAGAGAGAGAGAGAGAGAGAGAAAGAAACCGATACATTAATTTATACCGAGGGAGAGAGAGAGAGCGAGAGACAGAGAGATCCCCCTTTGATCCGAAACCCTGCGAACGCCCCCCCCCTCGAAACGAGACCCCCCAGACCTCTGGTCCTGGTGGCCTTCTGGACAACCCTGCAGAGGGTCTCCCAGGAGGACGTCCATGCCAGGCCCAGCCAACGCCCCCAAAGCGGTCAGGAGGGTGCCCTAACGGCCCCACGAGAGCTCCAAGCGCCCCCCCCCACACAGCCACCAGACGACAGAAAACAACCCAAAGAACACCCCCAAGAGGCCATCGGCATGCAAACAAACATGGATGCGTTTCCCCAAACCCTCCTGCTTTGGGTTCTCGTTATGACTAAAGCACCCTGTTCGCGACCTCCTCCCTCCCGCCTCCCTCCTCCTCTCCCCTCCTACTGCCTGCTACCCTGCCTCCTACCTGCCGTTCTGCCCTGCCTCTTACTTGCCTGCCACCCTGCCTTCTCGCCATCGTTTGGGGGCTGCGAACTGCGAAGCTGTCGCCACTTTCGAGGGCTGCTGGGGGTGCCAGCACAGTGACGCCCTGAATGGACTCAGGTTGGCCCTCGCCATCCCTGGGTGGTACACACTGCGAATCTGTCGTCACTTTCTAGGGCTGCTGGGGGGGGGGGGCAGCAAAGCGACGCCCTAAACAGTTTCAGGTTCGACCTCACCATCCCTGGGGTGGCGCGAGCTGCTAACTTGTCGCCACTTTCGAGGGCTGCTGGTGAGGCCAGTGCAGCGACGCCCTAAACGTTTTCAGACTCGACCTCGCCGTGCCTGGGGTGGTACGAACTGCGAAACTGTAGCCACTTTCGAGTGCTGCTAGGGAGGCCAGCACAACGACGCCCAAAACGGTTTCAGGTTCGACCTCGCCGTCACTGGGGTGGTGCGAAGTGCGAAACAGTGGCGATTTCCGAGGGCTGCGGGGGGCCAGCGCAGTGACGCCCTGAATAGTTTCAGATGCGAACTTGTCGCCACATTCGAAGAGTACGTGGGGGACCAGCAGAGTGACGCCCTAGGCGGTTTCGGATAAGACTTGCCAGACTTTTGGTGCGATCCCTGTGGTGGTGCGACTTGCCAAACGGTCGCCAATTTCGAGGGCTGCTGAGAGCCAGCATAGTGCCGCCCTGAATGGAGTCAGGTCAGACCTCGCCATCCCTGGGGCGGCTGCGAACTGCGAAATTGTCGCACATTCGAAGGCTGCTGGGGGGACCAGCATGGCGACGCCTTAAACGGATTCTGATTCGACCTCGCCAGTCCTGAGGGGCTGCGATCTGTGAAGCTGTCGCCACTTTCGAAAGCTGCTGGGGGAGGGGGGCAACCAGGTGACGCCATAAGCGGATTCCGATTCGACCTCGCCTAGCCTGGGGTTGTGCAAATTGCAAATCAGTCGCCACTTTTGGGGGCTGCTGGGCCCAGATTAGAACTCGCCATCCCTGCGGATCTGCGAACTGCGAAACTGCCTCCACTTTCGAGGGCTGCTGGGGGGGCCAGCGGTGACGACCCGCTGGGGACTCAGATTCGACCTCGCCGTCCCTGGGGTGGCGGGCGAGCTGGGCCTCGCGCGCATCCTGCACTCGTTCTCTCATCAGTCGGGGCGCCAGGACAGCATCGCAGCGCATCAGCGACATACTTTAGAAATCGCCACCATCCTTTCTGACTCCCTCTTCCTCGTTGAAGTGCTCTTCCTCCTTCACCGTCAAACCCTGCAACTGTCGCGTTGACTTTCGGGCGCCCCTTCCCTCTCCTGCCCCTCCTTCCTGCTCCCCTCCTCTCCGAGCCGGAGGCCTCGCTCCTCGTCCTCCGAGGAGGGTGGTGGTGCCCTGCCTGCGAGGGTCCCGAAAGCCCGAAAACTGCGAACAACCTTGCGCCGAATCTCGTTCACGACGCGAAGAGGTCTTGGGAGGAGGGGCGCCGCCGGCGCCGCCGTGCGGCGCCGCTCCTCGGAGGTGATGTACACGAACTTGCCGCGGTCGTCGAAGATGCCGCTCAGGCGGCCGAGCTTCTCCAGCTCCTGGCCAAAGCTCCCGTGGGGCGGCGCGCGGCGCAGCGTGCCAGGCGCTGGAGGCGACTCCCGTTCCCACTCCCCCTTTTCCTCCTCCTCGTGCCTCTTCCTCTTCCTCCTCCTCCTCCTCCTGCACCTCCTCCTCCTTCTCCCCCTCATTCCTCCTTTTTCCTCCTCCTCCTTGTCCTCCTCCTCCTCCTCCTCCTCCTCCTCTCTCCTCCTCCTCCCTCTCCTCTCCCTCCTCCTCTCCTCCTCTCCTCCTCCTCCTCCTCCTCCTCTTCCTCCTCCTCTTCCTCCTCCGCCTCCTCCTCCGCCTCCTCCTCCGCCTCCCCCGTCCCACCGTGCCCGCCTACCCCCTCCTGCCCCCCCCTCCGTCCTCCTCCGCCCCCTCTCCCTGCCCCTTCCTCCCTTTTGATATAAGCACGTGGCGCGCCTGCCCTGGCTCTCCTGCACGAGGGGAGGGCGGGGGTCAGTCACGCGAGGCGGCGTGAGGAGGGGGGGGGATTCTTGGGGGGCACTCCTGGTGTTGATGGGCCTCTTTTCCACCACCGTCGTAATTTGGACGGGGGAAGGAGGTGGAGGAGGAGGAGGAGGAGGAGGAGGAGGAGGAGGAAGAGGAGGAGGAAGAGGAGGAGAAGAAGAAGAAGAAGAGGGGGAAGAGGACCCCCTCCCCCCTCCAACTTATGGTGGTGGCGGTGGAAAGCAAGCCCACTCTGTTCCTTCCCGGGGTCACCATGGCCATCATGGGGAAGCAGCGGCGGGGGGGGGGGCGGGGGCGGGGTCGACGAGCGACTGAACAGACGACTCGAATACAAGGCTCCGATCTTTTGTCGCGCCCCCTCTCCCCCCCCGAGCCGTGTCGGCCGGGCGGGCGGGCGGGGCCTCCTCGCCGGAGACCGCCCGACCAGGTATGATCTTGAAGCTTTGCACTTGCAGCAGTTTTGCCGATGGAGTTTTTTTTTTTTTTTTTTTTTTTTTTTAATGTCGACCTCGCGGCAGCGCCACGCGCATTCGCCTTAGAACGTGGCGACGGCTTCGCCGCCGGAGGGCAGATGGCTTTCAACATGTGGCTCTCGCCTTGGCTCCGCGCGCGTTCGCAAGTTAAACGCTTGCCAGAGCTTCGCGGACGGAGGGCGTGTGGTCTTCAACATGTGGCTCTCGCCTTAGCGCCAGGCGCATTCGTCTTCAGGGTTCGCGACGGCTTCACGGATGGGTGGCGGGTGGTTTGCAGCACGAGGTTCTTGCCTTCGCGCCGCGCGCATCTGTCTTCACAGCTTGCAAGAGCTGCACGGATGGAGGACGCGTGGATTTCAAAATGTTGCTCTCGCCGTAGCGCCGCGCCTTCGTACTAAACGTTTACCAGAGCTTCGTGAGTGGAGGGCGGGTGGTTCTCAAGATGTGACTCTCGCTTGAGCGCCGCGCGCATTCGTGTTCAACATTCGCGACAGTTTCACGGGTGGAGGGCGGGTGGCTTGCAACAAGTGGCTCTCGCCTTAGCGCTGCGCGCATTCGTTTTAACAGTTTGCAAGGGCTTCACGGATGGAGGACGCGTTGTGTTCAAAATGTTGCTCTCGCCTCAGTGCCGCGCGCATTCGTCTTGATAGTTTGCATGATTTGCAGTGGTGGAGTGCGGCTCACTTTCAAAATGTGACTCTCGCCGTAGCGCCGCGCACTTATCTTCACAAGTTCGCACGAGCTTCAAAGATGAAGCGCGGCTTGTTTTCAATATGTGGCTCTCGCTTCAGCGCCGCGCGCATTCGTTTCAACAGTTTGGAGCAAGTTCAAGGATTGCCGTGGTCGCAATAACAAGACATGTTTTCTGGCCAGGTATAAAGTTGTCAGAAGGCGACAGTGACGTTGATTCGCGGTGATGAAATCCTAATGATGGTGTTCTGGCACGGTCTCGGATTGTCCGGATGCAAAAGTCACGTTGACTTGCGACGTTGAAGTCACAGGACTGGTGTTCTGGTACGGTTGAAGATTTTCAAACGCTTGTCTCGGCGGTGTACAAACCTCCGTTTAGTAAACCTCCCTTTAGTGAAAACGGCCTGGGACCGAAACCGACGGACCCAGACCCGCAAAAATGACAGCCGCGACGCCCGCTCGCGAACCGAAAAGGGCCAATTCCTTAATCGACGTGTCAGGGTAGGAGGTCTATCCACCTCCGATTGTCTTACAGTTGGGCAATTGCCGCAATGAAGATCACTTGTTGGAGTGCCCTTTTAAGAGGGAGCTGGGAAGGAGGGTGTACTGCAGCATCGTAGGCGCATCTTGGGTTTGCACTGGTCCTCCTCCTCCTCCTCCTCCTCCTCCTCTTCCTCCTCCTCCTCGTCCTCCTCGTATCTCCTCCGCCTCCTCGTTTCCCTTCATCCTCATCGTTCCTCCTCCCCCTCCCTCCCTCCTTCTCCTCTTCCTCCTCATCCTCTGGAACCTCCTCCTCCTTCTCCCTCCTCCCCCCTCCTCCTCCCTCCTCCCATTTCCCTTCTCCTCCTCCTCCTCCTCCTCCTCCTCCTCCTCCTCCTCTTTCTCCTCCTCCTCGTCCTCCTCCTCTTCCTCATTCTCTTCCTCCTCCTCCCCCTCCTCTTCAATCCTGCTCCTGATAAATAACTCCTCGCTGTCGCACCCCCAGACGTGTCGGTAAGGCGTGCCGGGCGTTTCGCTTCAGATATCTTCGGCCCCGAAGCCCGAAATTTGCAACAGCTTCACGCATGGAGGACGGGCCGTTTTCAACGGGTGGCTCTCGCTGCAGCGCCGAGCGCGTTCGCCTCAAAGTCTGCGACGGCATCGCGGATGGAGGGCGGGTGGTGTTCGAGATGCCGCTCTCGCCGTGGCGCCGCGCACGGCTCCCTTCGGGCCTGCGGTCACGCTCCACGGGTGGAGGGCGGGCGGTTTGCAAACGGTCTGCTCCTCGTCTCGGCGCCGCGCGCGCGCTCGTCTTGGCAGTCTGCGGCAGTTCCAGCGGTGGGGAGCGGCTCCATTTCGAATCGTTGCTCTCGCCCCAGCGCCGCGCACCCTGGTCCTAACCGTTTGCCCCACTTCCAGTCACACAGGGAGGATGTGTCTTGTTTTTTGTTTAGGTGGCTCTCGTCTTAGGTGCCACTCGCATTCGTTTTCAAAGTTCGCAGCAGTTCCAGCGAAGGGGGGCGTTTCCTGTCTCAAATTCTGCTGACGCCTCGGCGCCGCACACGTTTGTCTTAACCGCTTACAGTAGCTTCAAGGATGGAGGGCAGGTGGTGTTCAAACTTATGACTCTCGCCTCAGGACGCCGTAGTCACGTTGATTCGCGATGTTGGAGTCCTAGGGATGGCTTTCTGAGGCGATTCAGGATTGTCAGGACGCACAGTTACGTTGATCCACGGCGTTGGATTTCCAAGAACTTCGTGCAGGCACGATCGAGGATTCTCAGACGGTCGTCTTCTAAAAGAACACGTCCCGCAATGAAAGCAAGCATCCTTCGGGGACCTGTGAAAAGGGAACTTGCAGGGAGGGTTTGCTGCACCATCGTTGCTGCGTCTTGGGCTCGCGCTGGCCCTCCCGCCTCCTTCCCCTCATGCCCCGCCCTCCCTCCCTCCCATTCCCGTCGCACCCCGTCCTCCACTTCGCCCCCCATCCCCCTCGTCCCCCGTCCGGCTCAAATCGAGCACCCCCTTGGGCCCGGGATTCCGGCTCAAGTCGAGCACCTCTCTGGCCACAGGCGCCCTGGCCCCTCCCAGCCCTGGTCGTTGCCCCTCGACGCTGAAGAAGAGGCGGCCGAGCTCCTCTTCTGCGGAGCGGGCGGTGAGGACCCGTGCTCGCCAGATCTGGTGTGAGAGGCGCCTGCCTGCTGTGCCGCCTGGACGGCCCGATCCCGTGATCCACGCCACCCTCCCCCCCGTCCTCCCGCGCCCCCCTCCCCTCCCTCCTCGGCCCCCTCCGGCGCGGCCCGAGGCAGGCCCCCCGCCCCCGCCCGCCGGGGCGCCGGCGTGCCCAAGGCGGCGCGGCCGGCCGCCCGCGTGAATCGTCGGGGGAGGGGAAGGAGGGGGCGAGCGGGTCCCCGTCGTGCTGCGCGCAATCGGAAGTAGGGGGGGGGGGAGGAGGGAGGTGGGGAGAGAGGGGGGAAGGAGAAGGAGCGCGAGGGGGGAGAGGGGCGCGAGGGAGGGGCGGAGGGAGCGAGGGAGGGGGGAAGGGAGGGAGGGAGCAAGGGAGGGAGAGGGGGGGGAAGCAAGGGAGTAGGAAGGAGGAGGAGGAGGAGGAGGAGGAGGAGGAGGAGGAGGAGGAGAAGGAGGAGGAGGAGGAGGAGGAGAGGGACCAGGAGCAAGAAGAGGAAGAGGACGCGGATGACGTTAGGGAGAAGAAGGATGATGATGCTGATTGGATGCTCCACTGCACGAGGTCTTCGCCACATGGGCCCAACCAGGCATGACTGGTTACACATTTCATGGGTAGAAGAATGCACATGAAAAGCACTGGCCGATTCGACAATTATGATGCCGAGGATTTGCGCCCCTGAAGAAAGCACACAGCAGGAATCTGCTCACGAAATCACCAAGACGCTTGGAAGCGCGTCGTAGACGCGCACAAAACGCCCCCACATAATCCTAAGAGATCCCACGCGGCTTTCCCCGTGCACTCACTATCTCCTGTGGGAGTCCGCGGAATGGCGCAAGCCTCTTGAATACCCACCCTGCTCAGAGTAAAACACATTTTACGCTAAGAACATGGACTTCACTCCAAGCGATTTCTTAATCAGCAGTCCAGGTCCAGGCATACGAACACTCCACGAAGAAACACGGCTCCAAGAAGATGCCCAGGGTCCGGTCCAGACTCTGGAGATTCTTGAGCGAAATCTGGAGCCCACGAGAATTTACATTTTTCCTTGAGATGTCTGATGGGTGTGAGGGTGATGCTGCTGATGATGATGCTGACGCTGGTGCTGAGACGTACGAGAAGGAGCGCTGTCGTGGCGCGGACCCCGTGCGGCAGGGAGGGGGGCTCTGCAGACCCGCAGGGGGGAAGGCAGGTCGACACGGCCAGGGGGTGCGGTGCAGCGCCGCAGCCCCGACTGGAGAACGGATCCCCCCGTCTCACTGGCTGCAGCCGAGAAGATAGTGTTGTTGTTGTTGTTGTTGTTGTTGTTGTTGTTGTTGTCGTTGTCGTTGTCGTTGTCGTTGTTGTTGTGCGGGCGATAGAAAAAACCAAACTCATGAGTAACTCTCGGCCTCGCGATTCGCAGCACTTCGGTCGCACTTCGCTAAGAAACTGCTGACTGCGCGGTAAGCGATGGACACCACGCCGAGAAGATATGATCAAGGAAATGATCGGTTCAGAGACCTGGGCCAGTGTTCCGACGTGTCTTAAATCAAGCCTGGGCCAACTCTTTTGCTTCCGCTGGAGGGACGAACGTGTTCCAGAAGCTGGGCCAGCTTTCCGGCAAGTCTGTCAAGAAACGCTGCCCCTGCTTTTCGGGAGGAAAGTTCTGGATCATCTGCTCGACCGTACTTAGTCAACGGGGCAACCGGCCATGCAACCGAGAGCTGTGCTGCGCGGGCTCAGCTCCTTCGTTGGCCACACGTCGGATGTTAGCCAGGGGCGGGCACTGTGTGCCAGAGTGTGCGCTGACTTCGCGTCGGCCGCTCTCCGCGGTAGCCTAGCGAGCTCCAGAACTGTACGAGCCTAGCGCCAAGGCTTGCAGGCTCGCCGACGCAACATGTCGCAGTAGGGCCAAGCAGGCGACCATTCTGCAAATTCAACGCACCAGGCACACAAGGACTCCAAAGGGTGTTTTCAAGTATGGGATTTGCGGAAACAGGTCCCAGGACAATGATTTGGCGTATTTCTTTGGAACTTGCTTTGGAACGTCCTCCTCTATGCAGGGCGCTTGCTCCCTGACCTTCGAACAGGGTCTTCACTGGTGCCGAGCCAGTGGAACCTCGTTCTCCCTGCACGGCCCGACGAAGAGGGCGGTTGAAGTTCTAGGATTGTGAAGGCCTTTGCTGACTGCAAGCCTCCCCCATGCCTCTTCATTGCGCCTGGTCTTGGAGAGTTCGCGATGTTATTCCAGGACAATAGAGGAGAGACTATGCTGCTGATGATGACGGTAATGATGATGCTGATGATGATGCTGATGATGCTGATGATGATGAACATGATTATGACGGTGACGATGATGGTGATGATCATGGCGAGAGTGATGCTGCTGCTGCTGCGGCTGAGGACTATGACGATGCTGATGACGACGACAACGACGATGGTGATGGTGATGGCGACGTGATGGTGATGATGATGCGGATGATGACGATGATGATGATGCTGCTGCTGCTGACGATGATGATGCTGCTGATGCTGCTGATGATGATGCCAGTGATGACGATGACGACGACAAGGAAGAGGAGAAAGATAATGATGTTGAGAATGATGATAACGACGAGGATGATGATGATGAAGAGGAGGAGGAGGAGGAGGAGGAGGAGGAGGAGGAGAAGGAGCAGCGGAGAGGAGGAGGAGGAGGAGGAGGAGGAGGAGAAGGAGGAGGAGGAGGAGGGAGGAGGAGGAGGAGGAAAGGAGAGAAGAGAGGCAGCAGAAGGGGGGAAGAGACAGGAGGGAGAATGAGCTCCTCCTCCCCACTCATACTCCTACTCCTCTCCCTCCCCCCTGCCCAGCGCCCTCTCGGCGCATCTGTCCCTCCTCAGTTGTCCTCCCCTCCTTGCGCCGCTGTTCGCCAGTTGCCACCAGCGCCCCGAAGATGGGGACGCCATGTGCGCCCTGCCATGGCAGATCTGCGGTCGCGTGACATCGGTCATGCTACAATCTTCGACCCCATACTCTTGCTCGTTCTCTTGTTTTGGGGAGGGGGCAAAGCCGCAGTAGCGAAAGCTCGGAGCGTCATGCTCGTTCTCCTCCTTATTCTTTCCCCCCCTTCAAGATCTGCTCAATTTTACCTGATCCTGGCCCGAGGCTCAGTGAGGGCAAAGACGATGAGCTTCATCAGACATGCCTTGAAATATAGCCCCCCATGGGAGAGCTCCAAACGAACCTCGTGCGCGCGGCCATCAATTCTCCACATCGGCGTTTTTTCGCAGAGGTTCGAGCGAGGCGTACGAGGATCTGGGGGGCCCCTCTGGGGCTGGGATCTGGCCTACACGGGGACGTTCCCCGCAACACCGCCCGCACCAGGCCAACTTACTTCTTGATCGATCGAACTGTAACCGTCAAAAGCAGATTCAGCAATCAGCGGCGACGGCCCTGGCGACACGCCATGCTTTGTAAGCGGATGGCGTGTCGATCCGCTCCTCGTCTTACTTCCGCGGGCTTCCGCCGCCCTTCCGCCGCCTTCCGCCGAGGAAGAGACGACAACGCCTTCGGTCCTCGGAGGCGAGGCCGCTTCTGGAACGCCTGACATGTCGGCCACCGGCAATATCTGCACGCGCGCGAGCGCGCGCCTGTGCTCGCGCGCGCGCGGAGTCGCCCAAATGGCCGCACTGGCGCCTCGAGCCGGTTGATCGCGGCGCTGGTCTTCATCCTGAACTCGGCGGCCAGGTCCTCCAGCTGGACGACCTTGCGGACCTGGACATAGTCGATGAACCGCTCGACGGCCCCCGCCTCGGTCAGGCTGGCGCGCGTGCGCGCGCGTGCGCGCGCGTGCGCGTGCCGGGCGGGGAGACCTCGGAGGGGGCAGCGGGGGAAAGAGATGGCGAAGAGAGGGTGACGAAGAGGCTGAGGAGGCTGAGGAGGCAGGAATACGAGGGAAGCGGAGTATGGGAGAGGAGGAGGAGGAGGAGGAGGAGGAGGAGGAGGAGAAGGAGGAGGAGGAGGAGGAGCAGGAGGAGGAGGAGGAGGAGGAGGAGGAGGAGGAGCAGCAGCAGGAGGAGGAGGAGGAGGAGGAGGAGGAGGATGAGGATGAGGATGAGGATGAGGAGAGAGAGAGAGAGAGAGAGAGAGATGGATGGCCTTCCCCCGTCTGGCTTTCAACCCTCGAGCCTCTCCTAGAAGAAGCCTCGCCCTTCTGAGGAACTTGCCATAGACCACTGGGGCTAGCAACTTTCTCTTTCTCCCCACCCCTGCTATCTTGCCCTCCGCAAACTAGAAAACAGACAGGCTGATAAATGCAGCGACTCCCCCTTCCTGGGCTTCATGAACACCCTGGGCATCCCAAAGAAGAAAACCAACTCACGATCTGGGGATCGATGCGAATCTTGCTTCCGCTGCTTCGGCCTCGCTTTCTCCAGCTCTCCCCACTCCCGCTGCGGGGGCACCGGCGGGCTCGGAGCAGCGACAGCGGCAGAGGACAGCGTGCCGCCCCGGCGGCTCTAGAGCGACACGCGGAGCCCCGCGCGTGGACAGCGTGTCGCCCCGCTCCGTGGGGCGGGAGGCTCGGAGAAGCTCGGGACCTTGCAGCTTGGAATGGGGGGTAGCGGGCAGCGTGCCGCTCCGAAGCGTGGTGGGCCAGAGCCTGCGGCGCGGCACGCGGTCCATTCCCCTCCAACCACGCCGGAGGGCTGCGCTCCGGCCGTTATGCTGCTTGCACATCGGCAGAGGGAGCCCGGACCAGCAGAGGTGCGAGGGAGGCGAGCGGCGGCATCGGGCCCCTCGCCGCCCCCGGGGGGGATCCTGCAACCCGGTGCGAAGAGCATCTGGTGACTGGTGGGCCCCCCCGCTCCCCCCCCCCCAGTTCAGTCAAGGGGAACTGGGACACACAAATAAACAAGTGGCACGTGTGCCATGGCTCTTGCACAAAAAGGACATGGGGGGATGGAACAGGAAAATAAACGCCGTTCACATGTGCCAGACAATCAGCACGCAAAGAGTGAACAACAAAACAGGCCGCATGAGGGCTCCAGATGGCGTTCGCGAGGAACTCCAAGGGCCGTCCCCCCGCAAGAGGGCTGCAGAGACATAGACGGCGCTGGAACCGGGGCGGCTGAGGCGGTGTCCGGGAAAGGGGCGGAGCAGGAGTGCTGCGGTGCCGAAATAAAGTGGGCGGGCGGAGGTGGCGCAGGGCGATCGCTGGTCAAAACGACTAACAAAAACAACAAGAAAAAAAGAATACAAACAAGGGAGAAAAAAAACAAATAAAAAAGCAAAGAGAAAAGAAAAAAAAAAAACAAAATAACAATAAAAAAAAAAAAAAGGATGCGTAGGGGCGCTGAGCGTGTGGGGGAGGGGGCGGAGTATGGGGTGGGGATGTCGGGGCGGAAGGGGGCACTGGCGGGCGCTCGAGCCGCGGGGGGGCGCTCAGACGGTGCGGGGGAGGCGGCGGAGCGGGGGGGGGGTGCGGTGCCGAAATAAAGTGGTCGGGGCGGAGGGGGCACTGGGCGGGCGCTGGAACCGCGGGGGGGCGCTGAGACGGCGCGGGGGAGGAGGCGGAGCGGGGGGGGGGGGTGCGGTTCCGAAATAAAGCGGTTCCGAAATAAAATGGTCGGAGGGCGAGGGGCACTGGGCTGGCTCTGGGCCGCGGGGGGGTTGCTGAGAACGGCGCGGGGGAATGGGGCGGAAAGCGGTCGTGGGGAGGGGTGCGTTGCCGAAATACAGTGGTCGTGGCGGAATGGTCGCTGGGCGGGCGCTGGAGCCGCGGGGGCGAGAAGACGGCGCTTAGGGGGAGGGGCGGAGCGTGGGGGGGGTGCGTTGCCGCAATAAAGTGGTCGGGCGGAGGGGGCCACCTGGGCGGGCGCTGGAGCCGCTGGGGGGGGCGCTGAACGGCGGCCCCCCCCCCGGGGGAGGTGTGCGGGGCGGGGAGTTGGTGGGCTGGTGCCGAAATAAAGATGGACGGGGAGGAGGGGCACTGGGCAGGGGGGGGAGCGCTGGATGGGAGCCGCGGTGGGTCGCTGAGACGGCGGCACGGCGCGGGAGGGCTAGCGGGGGGGGGGGTCTTGGGGGGGGTGCGGTGCCGAAATAAAGTGTTCGGGGCGGAGGGGGCCACTGGGCGGCTCTGTTCCGCTCTGGGCGCTGAGACGGCCGGTGGAGGGGCGTGAGGGGGGGGTTGCGGTGCCGAAAAAAAGTTGTATGGGGCAGGAACGCTGGGCGCGCTGGAAGCCGCGCGGGGGCGCTGAGACGGCCGGGGGAGGGGGCGGAGGGGGAGGGGTGCGGTGCCGAAATAAAGTGGTCGGGGCGGAGGGGGCGCTGGGCGGGCGCTGGAGCCGCGGGGGGGCGCTGAGACGGCGCGGGGGAGGGGCGGAGCGGGGAGGGGTGCGGTGCCGAAATAAAGTGGTCGAGGCGGAGGGGGCACTGGGCGGGCGCTGGAGCCGCGGGGGGGCGCTGAGACGGCGCGGGGGCCGGGGCGGAGCGGGGGGGGGTGCGGTGCCGAAATAAAGTGGTCGAAGCGGAGGGGGCACTGGGCGGGCGCTGGAGCCGTGGGGGGGCGCTGAGACGGCGCGGGGGAGGGGGCGGAGCGGGGGGGGGGGTGCGGTGCCGAAATAAATTGTCGGGGCGGTCGGAGCAGGGGGCACTGGCCGGGGCGCTGGAGGCCGCGGGAGTGCGCTGAGACGGAGGGGCGCATGATGATGATGATGATGATGATGATGATGATGATGATGATGATGATGATGATGATGATGATGATGATGATTATGAAGATGATGATGATGATGATGATGATGATGATGATGATGATGATGATGATGATGATGATGATGATGATGATGATGATGGTGATTCTGATGGGGGGGGGTGCGGTGCCGAAATAAAGTGGTCGGAGCTCTAGACACCCTGTGCAAGAGAATACACACAAATAAAAAGGTTCCCCATATTTTCCTATGTTTTTCTGGGTTTTGTCTTCCCCCCCACTTCCCATACTTTCCCATATTTTCCTGGGAATCGCCGATTAATTGTGTCTGTGTGTTTTTTCCCCTCCTGATTCAGCGCGGATCGCGCAAAACCGGCGAGGGTCGGAAAACATCGGCGCCGCACCGGTCGTTCGGACGGGGAGCGCACAGGGAGCACCCACGCCGCTTGCTTCTCTCGCTGGGCCGTGCCGTGGGGCCCCAGCTCGAGCCAGACGTGCCCCAATCCCGGACGTCATGCTTTTTCTCATGACCCGACCCCCAGGAGGTCAGGACCCTTTCCCCGGGACCGGATTTTCATCCTGAGTCGTTTCTTGACGGTCCGGAGGCCCGGTAAAAGGGCTCCCAGAAGCCGAAAATAGCGAAAAACCTCCCGTCGTGATTTTTTCGTGACTCGAGGGGGTCTGGGTGGGCGGACAACAAACGCCTGCGCCACCTGCTTTTCTCCTTGGGCTGTGGGGGGCCTCAGCTCGAGCCCGACGTGGGCGGCTGCGGGTCGGGAGCGGCTCGTGCGAGGAGCAGGGGGGCAGGCGCCGCTGCCCGCTGGGTCTTCGTGGGGGCCCTTCGGAGGGGCTCGGGGTCCGCGCGGGCCTCTCGGGAGCCACTTCCCCGCCGTGGCTTCCCCGCGGGCTGCTGCGGAGTGTCCGCGGTGTCCGTCGGCGGGGGCCTCGGGCAAGGACTGCGCGGTCGGTGAGGAGACGGGGAGACCCGCCGAAGAGGACACGCCTCGCCACGGATGAGAAGGGCTGAGGGGGGACGATTGGGGGGACCAGCTCAGGGGGGGGAGCAACGAGCTTGAATCGGTGACACATCGCTGACAGGTCGGCGATAGGGCCCCGATGGCGACGCCGCACGTTCCCGGGCGGCGTGGGCCATCAAGCCCCGATCGGCGATCAGAGGGCGGTCGGGGGTCGATGCGTTCCTCCCCCGCAGCAGCGTTGGCCCCGAGTCCGCCGTCGCCCTCCGCAGGGTGCCAGCCGCTCCGCCTGGTGTGATGCCCTCGTCCTTGGCCCCTCTCGTTCCCTTGTCTTCCTCCCCCTCTCCCTCCATCTTCCTGGTCCTACGCCTCCTCGCTTTCCCCTCCTCCTCCTCCTCTTCCTCTTCCTCCTCCTCTCCTCCTCCTCCTCCGCCTCCTCCTCCTCCTCCCTCTCCCTCTCCTCCCCTCCCTTCTTGTTTTTCCCAACGGGCAGGTGCAGCCCGCGGCGTCTCGAGAGGCGCCTCCTTCCAGGCTCGGCGGCCCAAAGATGGGGCACTGATGGGGGCCCCGAGGACGAGAACCCCACCGGCCTCGACTGTAGCGCAATGGAGAGCCATGCAGATATCCAGGGGCGCCGATGGTCCATGCCTTCGGTGAGGCTTCTGGGCGAATTTGTGCAACGAGAAAAAACTCTGATGCATCAGGGGCACGATAATCAGGAGATGTGTGGACGCTGCGCCACAGGCTCCGCCGCGGGTTAGGACCCAAGCAATGCAGCTTCAGCTTGTGACCCACTTCCTACCCTCAGCAGGCGACGAACAAACTGCATACACATAAACTTTCGGAGCTCCGCGCGGATCTCTCGTGTCGACGCTGGGTCCCCCAAGAACTCCACGCGGACCTTCGACAGCTTATGTCTATGCTGCTGTTTTTGTTCGAGCTCAGGGCCCCATCCACATCCTACCCTCACAAGCATCCTTTAACCGATCCCTATCCCCAATGGCGTGGCCTTGGCCCCACAGGCCGATTTACCGACCTAAGACGGGATACATGCTTAGAGTCGGACCTGGACCAGAGGAATATTCTGAAAGACTTCAAGAGCATGAGACCCGCCGCCAGCCAAAATGAGGAGCATTCAAGGGTACCCTCCCCAAAGATGGACAAGAACATCCAACAAACACGCAAAACATTTGGGTACTCCAAATCCCTTCTCAATCGTCCCACGGGTCCGGCTTTTTAAGGCGCCTTTTTTGTAACTGCGGGGGTCCGGTTTATTAGGGGCGCTTTCTTTGGATTGGAGCTTAGTGGGTCCGGTTTATTAAGGCGCCCCGTCGAAGAGGGGGGTCCGGAATGTTAGGTCGCATTTGGAGGGGGGTCCGGTTTTTCAGGGGTGGTCGATTAAAAAGGGGATCCCTCCCCCGAGCCGATATCGATCTTGTACCTCGGTCCGACTGTATTCCTTCGGGTCTTTCCGGGCATACCCCCACCCCCACCCTATGACCCAGTGGGGTGGGGATCTGTTAGACGATGCCGACCTCAGGGCCCCATCCTTCAGGGCCCCATCTTCGAACCGCCGACGGGCGCGGGTTATCATCATCACCACCATCAGCATCATCATCAGCTTCATCATCATCACCAGCATCGTCAATACGATCATCATCATCATCATCATCATCATCATCATCATCACCATCATCATCAGCATCCTAATCCTCATCATCAGCATCACCACCATCACCATCATCATGAACACCATCATCATTACCAACATCATCACCAGCATCAGCAACATCATCATGACCATCACCATAATCGTCATCATCATCATTAACATCATCATCATCATCATCATCATCATCATCATCATCATCATCATCATCATCATCATCATCATCTTCAATACCAACCCTGTCATCATCATCACCATCATCATCATCCTCATCAGCATCATCATCACTATCATCATCAACATCAGCTTCATCATAATCATCATCACTACCATCATCATCATCATCATCATCATCCTCACGACCATCATCCAGATCGCCATCAGCATCACCATTATTATCATCATCAGCATCACCGTCATCATCATCATCATCATCATCATCATCTTCACGACTCTCATCTTCACGACCATCGTCATCATCATCATCACCATCACCATCACCATCACCACAATCCTCCTCCTCCTTCTGCTCCGCTTCACCATCACGATGACCCTCACCACCATCTCCATCACCACCCTGGTCACCATCTCCATCACCATCGACACCACTATGACCACTACACGATCACAATCACCACCACCACCTCCATCATTTCTATCATCATCTTCACCAGCATCACCATCATGATTACCATCACCATCTCCATCGCCATGGCCATGGCCACGACAATCAGCATTATCAGTATAAGCATCATCACCATCGTCATCACCATCATCAGCTCTATCACTATCATCACCATCACCCAAATCAAATCCGCCACATACACCATCACAATGCCCATCAGTTCGACCATCATCATCATCATCATCTTCATCATCATCATCATCATCATCATCATCAACAACATGATCATCACTATCATCATTAACATCGTCACCATCATCATAGCCATCATCAGCATCATCATCATAACCATCACCATCACTATCACCATCATCATCATCATCATCATCATCACCACCATCACCATCATCACCATTATCATCATCATCATCATCATCACTACCATCGCCATCATCACCATCATCATCATCATCGTCGTCGTCGTCGCCGTCGTCAGAAAAAAAAAGCTCCTCGCGCTTCGACCCTGGAAAGTCAAAATCCATGAGGAGCTGGAGACCCTCCCCAGTAGCGGAACCACTTACTTTGCTTTAGGTCGGGCATGTCCCCCATACAGGGAGATTTTAGGCAACTAATTAAAGAAATACTAAAAAAGTACCCCCAAATGCTCAAGAAGAGTTACACAAAAATCATCCCCAGACTATTTGTTTTGACTATTTTTGAATGTACCCCCTGCAGAGGGACAGGCCCGACTGAAACTCTGCACTGCCTGAAGACCGAACTCCTCTGAGCAAAAAGGCGCTCTTCGGCCCAGACCGCCGCCGGACTGGCATTTCAGGCCCAGTGGCTCTCCCACCTTCCCGTCGACCAGAGGAACAGCAGACGGCAGAATCGTAAACTTTCGGAGGGCCGCGTGGCTCTCTTGGGGATCGGCGCTAGGCCCTCCTCTCGCCATCGCTCGACCGTCCATTCCCTGTTTTTTTTTTCGGTTTCGTGTATATATATATATATATATATATGTATGTGTGTGTGTGTGTGGATTTTTCGCCACATGATCAAGGATGCTCGTCGATTGTCCTCGCCGAAGGAAAAATGCACACGTCCGAGCGATGCCAAGTCCTCCCAGGCGCGCGGAGCGCGCCAGGGACGGCGCCGGAGGCGCCGCCGGTGGGGGGCCCCAGCGCCGACCCGAGAGACCTGCGCGGAGCTTCGAAAGTTTTTATCCTTGTGCATTGCTTGATCTTCTTCGATCGGCCCTTCCGTCGAGGTCGGAGGAGGAGGAGGAGTCAAGGTACCCTGAGGTCGGAGGAGGAGGAGGAGGAGGAGAAGGATGAGGAGGAGAGGGAAAGGGAGGAGGAGGAGGTGAAGGAGGAGGAGGAGGAGGAGGAGGAGGAGGCAGAGGAGGAAGCCGAGCGTCCCCAAGCAAGCTCCGTTCGCAATCATCGACGAGCCCCCGCACTGTGCGGGAGGTCAGCTACAAGACGCGCAGCACGGGCGAAATCCGCCGCCTCGGAATCCGAGGGCACCCATCCTCCAAGCCCTCTCCGCTAATTGTGGAGGAGGCGATGGAGGTGATAAAAGATCGTGACAAACCGAAACCGCTGCAAAGAGCAGGGGCAGAGGGCCAATAGTTGGAGCATCAACGACGGCACTGGAGCGCCAGTGGCCAGAGCCACCCGGGTAAGGAATCCAGGGCACTTCGCGTAGTGAGCGAGAGAGTCTGGGGCTTCACAGCCCATGATGCACCGAGGGTTGGGGTTGCGAAGTCGGGTGTCGCACACCCACCCGCCTGTCCAGGTGCGCAAGGTGCGCACGGCCGCCATCCTCCACGAGGGGGGGGGAAGCGCTGAGCGTCTCTCGAACCCCTGCCCAATCCACGTGCTGCAGCATTTCCTCCCCCAGGTAAAACCAGCGGCCGAGCCGCTCCTTGATGACGCGGAGAGCGCCATCAGAGAGATACAACACAGGTCTGATACCGCGCTGGAGGGTCCTGTGGGTCTTGATGCGAGGGTGCGGGGGGCTCGTCGCGAGCGTCGCCGTTTTCTCGCTCCTGAAGAGCTCCAGCCCGCTGCGGGCCGCCAGACCCTCCCAAGGGCCCAGGAATGGAGAGGCCTTCGCCGCCAGCAGGAGCGACCGGAGGAGGAGGAGGAGGAGGAGGAGGAGGAGGAGGAGGAGGAGGAGGAGAAGGAGGAGGAGGAGAAGGAGGAGGAGGAGGAGAAGTCGAAGGGGGGGAGGGGGGAGGGGCGAGGAGGGAGGAGGGGGGAGGGAGAAGGGATTTGTTTGACGTTCGCACTCCAGATGGCTCCCTCCCCCACCTGGCTCGAACAGCCAGCGCCTTTGCGCCAACTGCACGACGGGCCCCAGGGTCGGTCTCTGATGGCCCCGCCCGGGCCCCAGCGTGGCCCTCCGAGGCCGAAGCCTGGAGAGCGGAGCAGGGCCCGTTCGTCCTGCCCGTCCTGTAGGCCTACTGCTAGGTCGGGCGTGTCCCCCTACAGGCGGATGTTGGACGAAGCAGTAGAGATACTCGGAGATATCCAGAACATGCCCCAACCCACTTGAACAAATCGTCTCCAGACTATTTTTGGACTATTTTCGAATATTCCCCCTGCCGAGGGACTGGCCCGACTTCAGCCTACTGCGATACAGTGGAGGCCAGTCCACAAGAGACCTTCCACAAGAAGCCCAGCCCTGAGACCCCGGGCTTGGGACCGCTGAGAAGCCTGACACGAGAAACCTAATCCTGAGACCCCCGAGAAACCTTCCACAGGAAACCCAACCCAACCCGGAGATTTTGGGTGTGGGAACACCCACGCGTTCCTTAGCAAAACCGCCAAACCGTCGAAACCCAAGAAATCAAGGGCACCCTGGAGGAAGCAGGGTGCTTCTTGACATGGCCCCCACTGTACGTTCTTAGCACCAGAGAAGGGCCTGACAACAAAACAATGCTCTTAGAACGTAGAGCCTGTGTGTTTCACCAGTGCTGCCTCAACCAGACATGTTCCAAGAACACTCCGTGCAAACCAAGACAAGGTTGTCAGAACAGAACAGCATTTGATCGGCCTGTTGGCACATCAGGACGCTTCGCCCGAGAGAGGGAGATCGCTGGGACCTCAACAGCCAGCCCGTCGGAGGCCTGCGAGGCGCGCGCCACACCTGATGCAAGCCTCTCCGCCGCTGCCGCCCGGCCTCTCGGAAGCCCCCGCAATGCCCGGCGCCAGGGAGCGGTGGCGACCGCCCGTTCTGGGCCTGTCTTCCACCACCACCACCATAAGTTGGAGGGGAGCTTGTCCTCCTCCTCCTCCTCCTCTTCTTCGTCCTCCCTCCTCCTCCTCCTCCTCCTCCTCCTCCTCCTCCTCCTCCTCCTCCCCCTCCAACTTCTGGTGGAAAACAGGCCCATCAGCCCGCCTCGGCGCCGCCGCCGTCGGTCTCGCCCTCCGCGTCGACCGCGAACATGTCCTTCCACTTGTCGAACTCCTCCTTCTCGGCCCTCTCCTTCTCCTCCCGGGCCTGGCGGTCCGCTCCGCTCTCCCCGTGCCAGGCGCAGGCGCCCCTCCCGCGTGGTGGAGCTGCCCCTTGGCGAGGCGCGGCGCTTCCCCCTTGGCGAGACGCGCCGCTTGCCGCCCCCCCCACCTCCTCCTCCTCCTCCTCCTCCTCCTCCTCCTCCACCTCCTCCTCCTCCCTCCTCCTCCTCCGCCTCCTCCTCCTCCTCCTCCTCCTCCTCCTCCTCCTCCTCCTCCTCTCGGGGATCTTCTGACCAGGGTCAATCCAGACCCGAGCCAATCAGGCCTTGCAAGGTCCTGCAAGATCCTGCGCCCAAGACCGGGTCAGTGCGAAGGGTCCTGCAGGATGCTGCAAGATCCTGCGCCCGAGCCCGAGCCAATGCGACCCTGGCCCTGCAGGATCCTGCAAGATCGGGCGCTCTGGCTGACCCCCGTTTGCATTGACCTCCGTCTCAAGGCTTCCCACAGTGGGGGGGGGGAGCGGCTTCTGCTGGGAGAGGCTCCTGGGCTGAGCCGCGAGCGGTTGCGGGGCACTTCTTTGGTGCGCCCGCCCGCTCACACCGATCGTGGGTGCCCGGCTGTGGCGAGGAGCGCCGCGTCAAGTCCGCCCTGAGATCCGGATCTCAGGGCAGCAGCAACAGCCCCGGCCTGGCGTTAGATCGGGCATCTCCCCCTACAGACGGACTTTGGACGACAAATGCAACATTGCCCAAACATACTTCCACATAGTCAAACTTTTTTTGGTTGAAGCGAAAAAATCAATCGTCCCCAGGACTCTTTTTGTTACGACTACTTTGGATCATTCCTCCTGTCAGAAGGACGGGCCCGACGTGAGCCTGGCGGGGCTCCACGGGTCTCGGCCTGCCCACCGCGGCGGAGCGGCCGGGGGGCGGGCTCTGCGCCCGTGCGCCCTCGGGTCGTGGACTTTCTGGGCCCTCGTCGTCCACGTCGTCGTCCTCGTCCCTCCCCTCCTCGTCCTCCCCTTGCCTCCTCGTCCTTTCCTCCATTTTCCTCGTCCTCCCCTCCCCTCCTCGTCGTCCCCCCCTCCTCGTCGTCCTCCCCTCCTCGTCCTCCCCTTCCCCCCCCCCTTCTCCCCTCGCCCTCGTCGTCCAAGTCGTCGTCCTCGTCCCTTCCTTCCTCCCCTCTGCGAGGCGGGGATCGATCCACCGCCTGGGAACCGACGTCCTGGTGCCCCAGCGGGCGGCGGATCTGGATGTGTTTCGGCCCCCAGGGGCTCAAATACGTCCATATCCACCGCCTGCCGAGGCTCCGAAAACTGACACTCCAGGCGGTGGTCATGTATAAATTCCCGCCTCGGATGTTCTGAATTCTGTTCGCAATCTGGAGCGCCGCGCGTTGAACCAGCCTGGTACGTGCATGTCGTTCGTGAGTTGCCCTGCTTCAGACGTGACGCGCTGCACCCATCCACCCGTGGCGGGGCGGATGGGGTAGCACAACCAGCAACTGTCAGTGACTCGTTGTTCCCGTCGACGAAGCACCAAGACTTCAAACAGCACGAGCTAGGGGCAACGCTGGGTGGGGAGTGGCTCGAGGGGGGGGGGAACATTGAGCTGGAACCGCCGATACGCGACAGAGCGACAGAGCCCCGATAGCGAAGCCGCGCGTTCCTGGGCGGGATGGGCAACCGGGCTCCCATCGGCTGTCAGTGGGCGATCGGGGTCGATGCCTCCCCCCCCCCCGGCAGGCCGCCCCCCGCAACATGTGCCCCTGCCTTCGCAGCACCGTGGGCCCCTGAGGATCTGATACAGAGAGGCGGTGAGGAGGAGGAGGAGGTGGAGGAACACGAGGAGGACAAGGAGGCGTCAGAGGATGAGGAGGAGGGATGATGAGGAGGGAAGTGGAGGCGAAGAAAGGAAGGCCATGCTCAGGGCCAAGATCCCCACTTTGCTGTCACATTCCCCCACCACCCACATGCCAAGCCTGAACAATGCTGACCAAGCACTGTGCGCATCATCCGAACTGTTGTTCGGCTTTCTTTGTGTCGGAAGCGGCAGCACGGGTACCACCTTACAATAACCACTAGAGCGCGGGATCCCAAACTCTGGACGTCGTTTTCATATACGATGCCATGAACAATGAAGACGGGAACTCTTGCCTCCTTTCTGCTGCATTTTGACGGCGCGCGGAAGGGGTGGGACGAGGAGGCGGCCTTCCGAGAAAGCATGGTGCTTCTGATGAGGGCTTGGTGGCTTCTAGGACGGCCTCCTTCCCAGAAGGCGGCGGGGCTTCTGCGGACCCTCTGCTTCCCAGAAGACCGCCCCTCTCGCACCATTCCCTTGTGCGCGCCGCCGATCATTCTTCGGCTGCGCGCAAGAGTGACCCGAGACGAGAGTGACCTCTCGTGCGCGGACTCATGGGGTCGCAAGGGGGCCAAACCCAAGCGCGCAGGTAGCCACCGTCGCATCGCGCTCAGCGATCGGGGGGGCCCCGCTGAGCCCGCACCAAAGGCCACCCCGGCGAAGGGTCACTCCTGCGCGTCGTGAAATTTTGTTCGGGCCAGATCGGCCTGTGAAGTCCTCAGGCCCAGGGCAGCAGCGCCCGCCGTGGCCCTTGAGACACGATGCCCTTCGTGCCAGGGCGCGGCGCGGCAGCGAGTAACACGAAGGCAGGATGAGGACAAATCTGGATGAAGATGTGCACCAGGAGTCCCTGACAGTTGGCGTTGAGCACAACAATGCATGGCAGATGTAAACAACATGTCTCTCGGAGGCCTCCGCGGACTTCTTGGGGCCTGGACTGGAGCGCGCCAGGGGGCGGCGCGGGACGCGCCGCCGGACGGCAAACGCCGATCCAAGAAATCCGCACGGACCTCCAAGGAATTATGCTTGTGCCGTTTTTATCGATTCTCCGACCCCGAAATCCGCCGTTGCAGAAAAATTGCAACAATGGAAAAAATAACGACAGGAGCCCCGGACCCTATCTTTCTGCATCATTTTTCGAGACGAATCGATCTGTGAGGGTCCCTGGGCCCGAAATGGAGCGAAAACGCCCGCTGTGGAAACATGGCAACGCCAGGATCTCAGGGGACGACGAGTCTGGAGGATGTCGGGAACGCTCTGAGAGCGCTCCGGAGCGCTCTGAGTGAGCATCCTTTAACCGATCCCCGTCCCCACCAGCGTAGGCTGGGCTCGACTGGCCGATCTACCCCCCTGATGGGGATACAAGCTGCTCTCCTCGGGCTTCGAGGGGCACATCCCCAACTGAGGTTGTGAGACGGTGGGTTTGGACGCCCGAACCGGGTACGGAAAAGATGGGTACAAAGCCCAACAACACATGTTGTCCAAAACCGACAGCGGCCGCTGTTGGGCGGGCGGCTGTTTGTCTTCAAAGAACAACGTCAGCGGCGGCGCGGACAGCGAGCCCTGTTCAAAATGAGCAGAATTTCCTGTTGGGCATCGTACCCATTCTTTACGTACCCATTTCGATCGTCCCGAGTGGGGCTCGAGAAGTGGATGGGGATGGGGATAAGGATGGGTAAAACGAGACTGGCTGAGAGCGGCTCGTCCCTGTCCTTACGTCGGGTTTGTCCCTCTACAGGAGGGATGCTCAAAGATAGTCAAACAATAATAGGGGGACGATGTTGTTGACTACTTTGGGCTATTTCTGAGCATCTTTGGGGCATCTTTTATCATTCGTCCCAAACCCAACAGATCAGGGGGACGCAAGACCTGGGTACAGGGGACTCGGAAATCCCCGACGAGGTCGTCAAAAAAATGACGAGGCCGAGCCTGCATTTTGACGAGGCCTCCCGCTGCAGACATCCCACGAATCTCCTCCTCGTCAAAATCCGAGGCGCGGTCGTCAAAAAACGATGGCGAACCCGAGTCCCGGCAAACCCGGGTCTTACGCTCCCCCGAACAGAGCGGCTCGTCCCTGTCCTGGGCCTGCCTGGGTGAGAGCCGCGCGCCGAGCATCGGCCGGCCGTCCCGAGCGGCCGCAGGGCGGCAGGACGGCCGGCGGCCGGTGGCCTTTCGCTCCTCCTCCTCCCGCCGCTCGCCTCGGGTGCCGCCGCGCGCGCGGGATCTCCGAGGAG